CAAGTTTGTAATTTTATTTAAAATTAAAATACAATAAAAATGAAATGAAAATATTTATGTATTTATATATATTTTTTATTTTTTTATCAAATTGTCTTTGTTTATGCTATACTTGAGTATGATTTTGGATAGATGGATATGGTGGCAATGAGAAAATTTAACTTTCAAACATGTATATAGACTAAATTACTTGTCTTTTAAGTTGATTGTTGGTTCCCGCAATTGTAGAATCAATAAATCCAAACATGATGAAACATTAATTTAAATTATAATTTATTCTATAATTTGATGAAACAAAAGCTATTTTTAAAAATTTTTAACATTAATTTCGGTTTATTGATATATATATATATATATATATATATATATATATGATGGCTTAACTAATGTGTTTTGGTTTTTCTTTTTTGTTTGCTTTTAGATTTAGGTCTATGATTCTTTACTATACAAATACTCGACACTTTGTAAAATGAATGGAAAGACGTGAATAAAAAAAATTTTGTTAATCTAATTATTAAAATTAATAATTATTTTCTTAATTTGTAACTTAACTATTAGATTAATAAATTTTTTAACCTCACCTATTTTCATCCTTTTACAAAGTATGGCCTTAAAAACGATAATGTTACTTTAATTTCTTTGTTGTCCTATCCCTTCCATGAATCAAACTAGAATGACTAGTTATAGAGTTTTGGAAGATGAAAATAAGTGAAACTAATAACATATAAGTAGTAAAGGTTAGCATGATAATTATTGTGTAGTTTTTTTCTTCATCTTTGAAAATTATTGTTTAAATATATATGATATGTATTAGTGCTTAATCAAGTTTAGAACATTTAAATAAGGGAATAAGTGCTGAAATTGCTAGTGTTTTAATTAATTTATGAGTGAACCATGAAAATGTCATGGAAGATCACTCGGTTCATTTGGGTTCAACCTAAGAAGAAGAGAAGTTTAAGTTAGTATGCACAAATAAAGAGCTTTGCTTCACGAGAATATGACTATCAAGCCAATGTCGACCATGTTACATCTAGGACTTTTTGTTTTCTTTTGGTTAGTTGAGAATTTATTTATCTATGTATTTGGCTATCCAATTCACTTGGATTTAGATTATTTTTGCTATTAGAAGTTTTTTTTTTTTAAAGAAATCATGTAGTAAGATATATATTCTAAAATTTTAACCTTTGCTAATGTTAGGTTTTTATAGATTTGATGTATGGTATGGTAGCTATATTTCACTATACGATATTGCTTTTTTAGAGTAGTTTGAGAAATCAAAAAAATTTAAAATTTAAATATATTAAATGTAACTTATTTAAAATGATTGTATAAATTAATTAAAATTAAAATTTATAAAATATAATTTTAAGTACGAATCATATTTGATTTTAGAGATAATAGGTCTTATAGAAAAAACTGATACGAATCTTTTTTTTATTAGTATTGAAATGAGAGGAAAAAAAGCTTTCAAATTTTTAAAGGCGGCAAACCAAGTGAATCAATTTAGATTTTAGAGTTGAGTAAATTATGAGGTTGAAGATCGAAATTCACTCAGCCTCGCTCAATTGGACTGGTAGACAAATAATTACTGATGCACATGTCCAGCCAAATAAAAAATGCCGATGGTTTCATACTGCAAAAATGTCTCAAATATTGGAAAGGGGAAATACCAAAAAGGAGAAGGAAAAAGATACTGATTTTTAAAATAAAGAAAGATAAGAGTAAGGAAATGAAAGTGGACTCATTAGCACGTGGTAGAGAGTTGAGCTCCTGAGTCACTGAGTTGTGACTAAAAGTAATAGCAACTTGAAAGAGGGACCACGTATCTCTGAAAAAGCAAAAGTAGAGAATTTTCGGTGGCCAATTTAGCTTTGGGTAAATTCGAGTTCCTCTGTTCTGCGTAGTCACCGAATAATATTTACAGTGGCCCACACGATTTGAGTTTAAGTCAGGGTTACAGACCGCGGCTTGAGGTGAAAAAACCTGAAATCAAAACGTCACGTCGCTTGTGAGAACAGAATTATCACCTCCAGTGGTAAGCTTAAATTTGTTTATCACCTCGAATGATATGATGAGATAGATGGGAGCGTGAAAATGAAATTGGAAGGGGAAACTGCAAGGAGGGAGTAATGAATCTTCATCGGGAAGACACTTCAAGGCGATCTCCAAGATTTGATGTGCAGTAAAGTTTTGAAAACGTAGCAAAAGTCCAAAGCATTAGAAAAGGGTTGTGGTTTGCTGGTCCCCACTCCCAGATTTCTTTGGGACTCCCAAATCTCCTCGTTCTCTCTCTTTGTCCTGTTTGCTTCTGGCAACCATTTCAACTCCCCTTCTCATTTTGCGTTTTTAGTGTTCCCTTTCGCCCATGTCCTTATCTCGCCAATCCACCTTAGTTCTTTTTTTTTTTTTGTTAGTTGTAAAGAGTTAATGATTGTTGAATGGTGGAATTCTTGTGCTATACTTCTGGCATATAGGCAACAATTGTTTCTTCAAATTTCAGCTCAAGCTAGGGAGATATATACAGCAAGCCTTTTCAATTTTGATTTCAAAGTTAGAGAAATTCGAGAGAAATGGAGAGGAAGACAAGTTGTGATTTAGGTAAAACAATGAGCAAGACGTTGGTGAAATGGCGTTAAGATTTTAGAAAAACTCAATATTTGGATAGAAAGAAGAAAAAAGAGCGATGTGGATTAATTTTAATTATAAATTAATGCTTTTAAAATCAATGAAAATCTTCATCAATTTTAACAGATAAAAGTATCCTCTCCCGTTCCGAAATTGGAATTCCTAAATTTACGCTTCACGAAAACAAAAAAAAAAAAAAAAATTCTTCCAAACATAAACATAAAACAATTCCGCGCTGAAAGAAGCTTGTGCAACTCAAGAACGAGGTACTTAAAATTCTTTCGGCAGCATGATGGAAAGCTTGTCTGGATAAATAAAATAATTTGATTATAAAAAAAATTCCGTGGACGTACAATAACAAACAAAAATGATCAAGCAAAGTTGAAGTGAAAGTAAGTAAAATATAAAAAGTAAAGAAAGAAAATCTCAACCATTAAATAGTAGCAGTTGAACAACTCATTGATAGCACATAAAAATTCATTAATGGCACCTAAGAAGAGGGTATTACAGCCAAATTGATATTTTCTTGAACTAATGACTATAAGTGATTACAGCACAATGCAAAAACCACCAAAATAATACTCCTACTACTTAATTATGACTTCTTCAGCTTTGCTTTAATTTTCATTCAAAAGAAAATATCAACTAAGATTTCATATCTCCACTCCAGTTCTTCGTAAGTGATTGTGAAGCTAAAGCTTTATTTTCTTAGAAATAAGCACCAATGAATGAACAAAAGCAGCCGAAAAACAAAAAAATGAAGTCAATTATTGATGACAATTTGATGGGATTAACAATAGGGATGGAAAAATAAATCTGAACATGAAAATTCACTCAAAAAACTTTAATTTAAATTTGTTAGAATTTAATTTGATAAAAAAAAAAATTTAAATTTAAATTTATCTGAACTCATAAAAATTTAAATTCAAAATAACTAAAACCAAAAAATCCAATTCTAAATTTATTCAAATTAAAAATTGTTATAATTATTATATTTTTATAAATTTTATAATTAATTTAATTATCGCAGCCCAAATCCATCTTAAATTCAGAAAATTTAAATTTAAAATAATGTGAATCTAAAACAATAAAAAAAATTGTTTGTCTAGTGAATTTTTTATTTTTGAAAGAAAATGATATTTAATGAGAATGTGTGATTATTTTATTTTATTAATCTTAAAAAATATAAAATTTTTGTAATTAATTACAAAATATAAAATTACCTAATAAATTTTTTTATTATATTATTTTTAATAATATATGAATAACACGTGATATTTATAATATATGAATAACATATAAATAAATTATTTATTTATTTATAATTTTATTTATTTAATATATAAATTATTTATTTAGTATTTTTGTTAAATTATTTAAATAAAAATATTTTAAATTTTATTGCACATATAGCATATAATAATAAATTTTATATGTAATAATAAAATTTTATCATAATAAAATTTTTTCATGTTTTTTCAACAAATATTATATTTTTAATTTAAAAATATAATTTTTATTGAAATTTAAGAATTTTAAAAAATTAATATTTTTTCATATTTTAATAAAGATCTCATTTTTTTGTCTTAAGAATATTATATTTATTGAATTCTAAAAAAGAAAAATTTTTTATATTTCAACAAAAGATCTCATTTTTATTTTAAAAACCCTATCTTTATTAAATTTTTAAAATTAAATAAAAAGTAACATATAAAATTATTATGTTTTTAAAGTAAATAATATTATTTATATAATTTAAAATATAATTAAATGATAACAATTGAGATAAAAATCTTACTCTTTTTTGAAATATAAAAAAATTCAAGAAAATACGAGTTTTTATCATCTACTTTTCTTTTTTTTATAAATTGTAAGATTTTTTATGTAAAAAGTTGTTCTAAACCAAATTAAAAAAATCAGATAATGAAAATTAAAAAAACTCTAAATAAATTTCATGAACAAACGCCTCACAATATAAAATAATTTGGAGCGGAAATAACTGAATTCGAACTCGCACTATTACGGCATCTAGTTAAAGCTTAAAAGCAAGCACTAGATCATATCATCAAACGAGAAAAAAAAAAAAAAAAAAAAAGAAGACACGAGGTGGCACATGTGAAACAAGCAATGGGAGCTGGAAAATGTGAAATTTAATTTATTTAATAAAAGAATAAAGATCACCGTACCCTTTCCGAAATAGTAAAAATGCGGTTGTCCAATGTCATCCTGCATCCACTTTTCATAGAAAAAAAAAAAAGGAAAAAAACATTTTTCAACTGTTTTTGCGCCGCCGTTAGGGAGCCGTGTCGGATTTGACGTCGAGGTCGTCCATTGACCTCCGGTCATTTTCCCTCTTCCATCCCGACCATTTACTGGCACGTTTCCCGAGATTTGACTAAATTCTTGCTTCATGATAAAATATCCACAAAACGAGATATCGGAGACAGATTGAGGGAAGGAAAGGGCCTCCGAAGTGCATTTAGAATCCCTGTAAGCAACTATTAACTATTAGAAGCCTTTGTATTAAAAAGAAACAAAAATCGATTGCGAGGATTTCATAGAGAGAGATTTGATTTTTTTTGTTTTTGCCAATCAGAAAGATTTCATTTGAGTGAGAACATAACAAATAGTAGTAAGCAATAAAAAAATAAAAAAAAAGACTGAAAACAAAGAAGACAGAGACAGAGACAGAGACGCATTTGTACATTATAGCGTATAAAAGCATGGCCACAGAACAAGGGGGAACCTTGTTTTTTGCCTCTCTTTCTAACAATTCACAGGAGGGAACTTAACTTTTCGTCTTTTTCTTTCTTCCAATGTTTTTAATTTCTTTTTAATATTTTCCCCAAGGTTCTATAGAAAAAATTTGCTCCTCTCTTCTTTTTTCGTTTTTGCTTTCCTTGAGATGGCAAGAAACGGTGCCGTTACGTGGTGGAGGAGGACGGAGAAAATTGACGGCTTCGATCTTTCACCTACTGATACCGAGGCAGTTCATGTACTTGCCGTTGATGATAGCTACGTTGATCGCAAAGTCATTGAAAGGTTGCTTAGAATTTCCTCTTGTAAAGGTTGGTCATTGTGATTTCATAATTTCAAAAAGTTATCCGAAGTTGTAGCATTTTACTTTATTATGATTTCCTTCTTTGGATTTGAATTAAATGACGGTTGGGTTGGATTGGTGCAGTGACGGCAGTGGATAGTGGAAGGAGAGCTTTGCAGTTCCTGGGATTGGACGAGGAGAAAAAAAGTAATGGTTTTGATGTGAGTATAATTGAAATTTTGTCCACAAGATTATAGCAATGATTCTGGGAAGATGCCAGCCGACAATTAGCTTTGTTTCTGATTTCAGGGTTTGAAGGTTGATCTCATTATCACCGATTATTGTATGCCTGGAATGACGGGTTATGAATTGCTTAAAAAAATTAAGGTTAGAAACCTGAAATTTGTGGTTCCCGTTATCTTTCGACACTCCGTTAATGGTATCTGAGGCAAGGCCTAATTTTATGTGAAATTTCTTATCTTGAAACAGGAATCCTCTGCTTTTAGAGAAATCCCAGTTGTAATCATGTCATCTGAGAACGTTTTAGCTCGAATTGATAGGTATTTTATTACTCTTCATGTCTTAAATAAATGAAAATTGGCTAATGAAATAATTTACATTGATGGGTTTATCCGAATTTTTTACGAACAGATGTTTAGAGGAAGGAGCAGAGGACTTTATAGTAAAGCCGGTGAAATTATCAGATGTTAAGCGTATAAAAGAGTGCATGAACAGAGAGTTCAGAGTGGGAGAAGGAGAAAGAGAAAGAGAAAGAGGAAGAGGAGGAATCAACAAGAGAAAGTTGAGAGAAAGCTGTGAGCTTTCTTCATCATCATCGTCATCTCCATCATCACAATCGCCATCCCCATCACCGTCAATTCTATCAGCATCAGCACCATGTTCTCCCTCATCACTCGATTCTCCCACCAGACGTCTCAAAATGACTATCTCTGAATAGAAAAAAAAAAAGAACTACAATTAAAAGTTTTTAGATGCCCAAGCCTAGCCCCCTCCCCTTGCAGTTCTCCGTTAATAGTTTTTTAACGGTTTTTGTTGCGCTTTGCAAAACCAATCCATTTTGTCCTCTTTTGCCTATTTTTGTACTAATAATTTTGTTAAATTATAAAGTAACAAAATCCAATTTCTGATTCTAATTATGATTAAATTATTATTTTTGTTCGTTCACATATGAAGCCAGTTCAGATAGTTTGGGTTTTGATCTCGTTGTCTGCTAGAGAGGGCAGGGAATATTTGGAATGGGATGGAGGTGATGCTCCCTTATTAAGGAGCTAAGGTAGGAGTGGGGAACTGCCAGTGTTGTCTTGCTGTCTCTCCTAGAGTTGTATTTTGCTTGCATTTGCTTGGCTGTCAAGGGGACCTAGTCGCCGGTACTTCCTTACAAATATTGGGCATAGCTGATACCGGAAAGTAACTTTGGACCCTACAGTCGGTTGTGAGATTTTGATTAACACAACTACTATAGCATGGAGAGGGCCTGCATTTTTTGACGGTATGCATTTGTTTGGAACTTTTGCTAGGTTTACTTTAAATACAAAAAATATATAGGGAATAGTAAAAATTAACATCTCACAAAGGGTTATTTCGGTCCATAATTTTTGTCGTTCACGGTAAGGTATAGGTGCATTTTATTATTTTTTTTTATGGGATAGAAGATGATGTTGGATCTGCATTTTTAATTTACGCATCTTTTAAAATTTTTTTTTTAATTATTAGGCCAAGAAATGAAGATGGTTGAGGAACATTTTAGATGTTGGAAGGGTGAGGAGTGTGTTTCAAAGAGATTAGGTTTAGATCAAATCAAGAGATACTTATAATTGAATTAGTATTTTTCCGAAGCCCGTGAATGCTATAATATGTCAATTAAATATCTGAAGTGAAATTTAACTTTTTTATCTATAAAAATGAATAAATAAATTTTAATTAAAAATAGAGTAGAACAATAATTATAGTATCAAATAATTAAACCAATTTACTTGATTTGATAAATGATTTTTTTCACGTCTGAGAAATACTTTTTAATAATTACCCAGATGGCTTTAGGTTAAGGCAGTAAAAAGAGTATTTAGTTTGGGAAATCTACTACTTCTATACTTTTTCATCTATGCAATGAACAACAATTTTTTTTTTTTTTTGAATTTCAGTTATAAATAATAATATATAAAAATAAATAATAGCTGAACATATATAGGAATTTTCGGTATCGTCAGTATTACATTTGCATTTAAACATATTTTTTATTAATTTTAATTTTATTATTACAATAATTAATTTCACTTTCAACGTTATTTGTAATTTCACAAAATCAAACTCTCCCTGTTTTCAGTTTTCAATCTAATGAATTCAATCTCCTCATAATGTCTGGGATGAAATAAGACATAAGCAACCCAAGGTTTATTGGCATAATCTGATCTGGTTTCAATTTCATATCCTAGGCATGCCATCATTTTCTGGATGACAGTCCTGGGTAGGCTGCCAACCTGAGTTAGAATTCATGAGGGTGCTATCTGATTTAGGAGGGAAATGAGGGATTACATCTTTTTTACCTGTATTTATTCATTCCGAGCAGCCGTGGGAAAAGGTGCTATCTGCATGTGGCATCAGCAGACCAGTAGGTGATTTGCATGAGGAACTGACATGGGAACTCGGGTGAGGCTTTCGTCACTGTTATTTTGAGGTTGTCTTGGAATGCCTATATTTACTATCTCTGGCAGGAGAGGAACAACAGACTCCATGGTGGACCAAGTAGATTAAACCGAATGTTATTTTGCTCTATTACTTGTATAATTAGAGCTCATTTAGCTGAAGTTAAGAACATTGCGAGAGACCCTGGCTGTTAATGATCCTTTTTGCCTAGCTTGGGGACGTTGTGACTCTATATTTGCTAAGTAGGGATGTTTTGATTAGAAGTCTGATTGTCTGTTGCTGCTGATTGCAGCTTTGTACGTGACTATAGCGGCTAGTGTTGCTTCTTTGGATAAATAAAACTTTTTACTTGCAAAAAAAAAAAAAAAAAAGGGGGGTCGAAGAGTTTTATATGTATCCCCTTCCACCTGGGCTGGAATTAGCACAAATAGTTGGGATGAGCCCAGATGGGTTTTCTTTTTCCCCTTTGGACAGTGCAATTGATTAGATTTATCTTCTCATGAACCAAAAAAAAAGCGAATAAAAAGGGGTAATACCTCATGCAACGGTATCAAAGCTATATCAGCTGAAAACGACCTCATTGACATCGACATATCAAAGTGCAAGTTCAGTGGCCTTTCCTCATCTACGTGTGAATTAAGTAGCAAAGATGTGACGGTCATTCTCGTATAGCAATTCCTGAAACAATGTGTCTACCACCCCCCCCCCCTCCCCCAGGAGAAATAAGGAAATGAAATGGACACACAAAAAACAGGAAGAGTAAATACCATTTTCCTTTTTGTGTAAATCTTAATTGAAACGAGAAGAGTGAGAGAGCGGGAAGATTCGACATACAATAGTAAATGGAATACTAAACTGAACAATTGTGTTTAGTTGGCTTGGCTTCATTTTTTATTTAGAAACAAGCAAAGAAACAAGTATTCAAGTAACACAAAACAATGAAAGAAGAAAAAAATTGTTTCTCTCTTTTGTTAATATATTAAGAATTAGAAAAGAACGAAATTTCTTGCCAAAAGACTTGAATTTTCTTTCAAGCTTCAAGTATTGAAGGTTTTTAGTGTGGAAACGAGAAAGTATAGATATTGGAATGTTCCTTCAACCTTCAAGGCGGTCAATGATTATGATTTTAAAGGTTCATTTTTTACGTTTATATCTATAACTATACAAAAGTAAGCTATCATCAAAATGACAATTTTACCCCTTCAATTTTTGGCTAATTGCTTGATATGTATTGAAAAAGACGACAATGTCCTCTTATGTAAATGATAAAAACAGCCCTCTTTTAAATGATAAATTGCTATAACGCACTCCCTTCTTAAATGATGAAAATATCTCTCTTATAAATAGATTATATGATGCTTTTATGTTTTAAAAGATGTAAATACTCCTCATATAAATAACAAATTACTATAGTACTTTTGTGTCATAATTATGGAAATGCTGCTTATATCATATTGGCTTAAACTACTATAATGTTCCTCCAACTATAATTATGAAAATGTCTCTACATATAAAAGTAATCTAACATGGAAATAACAATTTTACCCCTTCAATTTTAGGCTAATTGTTGGACATCTGTTCAAAAAGATGATAATTTTCTCTTAGAGAAATGACAAAAATACCCCTCTTTTAAATGTTAAATTGCTATACATCCTCTTTTCTTAAAGTACAAAAATACCCTTCTTATAAACATCATATTACTATAATGCCCCTTATGTCTTAAATGATGAAAATATCCCTCTTATAAATAGCAAATTACTATAATACTCTTATATCATAATTATGAAAATGTCCATCATACCGTATTGAGCTAAAATTATTAAAATCTCCCTCCAAATATAATTATGAAAATATATTTCTACTATCATGATTGATATAAATTATTATAATATCTTCTTATCATAATTACAAAAATATCCTCCCATCAAACTTGATCAAAATAATTATAATACCCTTTACCATAATTACAAAAATATCCTTATAATTGCTATACAAAAAGCTTATATGTGCCATTTTGTTTGAAAATTTATAACTATATAATGAAAATAAACCCTTTTGAAATGACAACTATGCCCTTTCAATTATTTGCTTATTGCTTGACATGTGTACAAATTTAATGCAATGCTCTCTTTTCATAATCAACCAAAATTACTATAATGTCTTCCTATCATAATTACTGAAATGCTTCTATTACATAATTACGAAATACCTTTCTATAATGATTGGCTAAAATTACTATAATGACCCCCGTATACCATAATTATGAAAATATTTTTCCTATCATAATTGGCCAAAATTACTTTAATAGTCTTATTGATTTGCATATTTATAATTATAATTAAAAGTAAACCCACCAAAATTACATTAATACTCTTTTGATTGTTTCATAATTTGTTGACATGTGGCATTTTATATCACTTTCGCCAAAATTACAAAAATTATCTTTTATATCTATTTAATTATATTGTGTAAATTACAATAATACCTTTCTTCATATAAATAGCCAAAATTATTATATTGCCACTTCTGTCATAATTACAAAAATATCTCTCCTATATAAATGGTCAAAATTACTATAATGCTTCTCTTATCATAATTATAAAAATACCTTAATACTATAATTAAACAAAATTACTATAATACCCTTTAATTATAATTACAAAAATGCTCTTTTAATTGCTTAATAATTACATATTAAATTTTAACATCTATATAATAATAACTATAATTAAAAATGAACTCTCACCAAAATTACATTAATACCCTTTTGATTTTTTCATAATTCGTTGACATGTGGCATTTTATGTCATCCTTTACCAAAATTACAAAAATACCTTATATATCTGTTTAATTAAATCATATAAATTACTATAATGCCTTTTTCCTTATAAACAATCAAAATTACTATACTGCCACTTTTGTCATAACTATGAAGATACCTTTCTTACCATAATTGGTCAATATTACTATAATATCCATTTTACCATAATAAAAAAATTACATAATATTATAATTAGTCAAAATTACTATAACGACCTTTATCATAATTACGAAATACCCTTTTAATTGTTTTATAATTACATATTAAATTTTAACATTTATATAATAATACAAAAGTAATTCCTTTAGAAATTACCATTATACCCTTCTAATTACTTAACAATTGAATGACATGTATCCAAATTGCTTGTAATGCCCTTTTTTTTTATTATTATCAAGTAAAATTGCTATAATGTCCTGCTTATCATAATTATTAAATGCCATAACAATTTTATGGACCATTAGATGAAAAATTTTTAAAAGTTTCAAAAATAAAGGTAGTCACCATTAATATTTTTTAAAAAGTGTAATTGACCATCTAAAATATGTATCTTTTTAATAAAATAATAAAATAAGTTTAAAGTTGATCAAAGACAATTTGGTATACGAAAACAAAACTAGATTTGATAGTTTGTTATGCATGAGAAAGAATTAACATCTCTATAGCACTAAAAAAATTTGGTGTCAATTGATCATATATTATATTTACTATTGATAAAAATGGTCTTAATTCTAATATTTAAAAATGATTCCATCAATTTTTTTTTTTATTTTTTTGTAAAAGTCCTTTTTTAGAGCCTTTTATTTAGGAATAAGACAAAAATATTTAGTGTCGAAATATTTTCTAATTTTTGAATATTTAGGTAGAATTTCAAAAAATATTTCTTTACTTAAGATTTTCATACTAATTCCTTCAAAAACTACACATAGTATTTCTTTGTAAAGAATAATTACTGAAAAACCCTCCAATATCTAGGAAGAGTTTTAAAAATTATTTTTACTAAAAAATATTAGTTTTTTTATTATTTAAAATAGTTTTCCAAAAACAACCATTTATTAATTTTTTTGAAAATAATGAAATGCTAGCACATATCATATAGAGCAAATGTATGATGCGAATTCAAATTACAATGCAAACAACCAATTAAAGTTATTTAATGCATATTTAAAATTTATTCATTATATTTAAGAATAAAATTAAAATCTTTAGTATCAAAACATTTTTTAATTCTTTAATATCTAGGCAAAATTTTAAAAAATATTTCTTTACTTAGAATTCTCAATATATTCTTTTAAATTTGGCGTAATATTCCTCCGTAAAAAGTAATTATTGGAAAACCTTCCAATATTTAAATAACGTCTCAATAATTATTTTTACATAAGGCTACTAACCATTATTTTAAAAAATTTAATTTTCAAAATTGTCACTTACAAATTCATATTTTTAATTACAGGGCATAATATAACAAGAGATAAATAAATAATGCAAATATAAGCAACTAACCAATTTGACCTACCTTATATGTATTTAATTTTATTATTTATTATTATCTTTTTTGAAAAAAATCTAGGATGAAAGAAGTTCATTTATTTTTTATTATATTATTTTTTTGGAGGAAAATTTTCTTTAATTTTTCAATATTTAAGTGAAATTTGAGACAATTAATCTTTCTAAATATGATTTGAATTTTCTCAAATATCTAAGTAGGATATCCAAAACCATCATTTTTTTAAACATTATCTTATATTTTTTAAAGAGATACAAAATTAGATTGGCGACAAGTTAATGATGTTTTACCTTGACTCACCTCAAGATATATTTAAAAGTATATATATATATATATATATATATATATTAATATACATACTATAAAATTTGTAATTTTTTACTTGTACATGTCACCCTTTTTAACTTATTTTTTCTTCTTTCTATATTTAATATATAATTTTTTGGAATTATATTGGGATTCATTTGATATTGTCTATTAAAATTTTTTGTTCTTTGTCTTTTATTATTTTTGTTTTCTTAAATTAAATAATTTTGTAAAAATATATTGAATTATTTTAAAATAAAAAAGTAAAAAGAGGGCCAATGCAAGTGTTCATATGGAATTCTATTTTGATTTCTTTTGTTTTTGTTGTCTTTTTTTCTTGCTTGGGTTCATTTTCTTTTATTTTTATTTATAAATTTTTTAAAAAATTTTAATATAAACCTGGCACATCCATTTATACACTAAATCCTTTATATCAATTCATGTTTACATTAAAATAGTGTTTGGTATGGGATGATCATTTTAAAAACCATGATGATTTACATAAGGTGATTAGATCAATATGTTTGGTAAGCTTTCGGTGGTTTTATGTAATGGTAATCTTAGATCACTAAGAGTGATCAGATCACTATCTTGGAAGGTGATATAATTTCCATCCAAAATGGTTGAAAATTGTTTATCACCGAAATGAAGTGATACATAAAATTAATAATTGTCAATATCCATTTAATATATGAACTAAAAACTTACTTCTTCTTGAAGTTGTAATTATTTTATATTATAAATTTTTATAATTTAAAACTAATATTCATTATAATAAGTTCAAAAATAATTTGTGTGTTTTTTTAATATTTTATATATAATATACTTTTTTTCTTTTATTATGATTTAATAGATTAGTTCAAATATTTTTTTACATAATTTATATTATAAAAATCAATTTACCTATTAATAAATATTTATCAATTTAATAAATTTAATTATATTTTATAAAATAAATAAAATATTACTAATATTTTACAGATGATTACCTTTAAATATTATTGAAATCATTAAATTGTATATCTATTACAATATGCATAGTTATTTTCGTATTTTTAAACAAAAAATGTTTAATTTTTAGTAATAGTAAATACAATGATCTTTAATTACTAAATATTAATTATTGTTAAGTAAATAAAGTAATTTCAAATAATTAGTGATAAAATCACCTTAATTAATTAGATCACTTCGGTGATTACATTACCATAGGAATTTTGTAAAAGATACCAAACACTACCTAAAGGTTGCAAGTTTTTAGAAGCAACTGGATATCCATGTGGCACCTGCATTAGCTCATTTTATTTTTTTTTTAAATTTTCTTTTATTACTTTTTTATTTTTATAATTAGCTAAATTTTGAAAAAACTATAATATTGATTAAGGTGCCTATGTACCACCTTTATTTGTTTATCCTTTTTTTGTATATTTTAATTAGATAAATTTCACAACAAATAAGCCAGTTGATATGAATGGTAAAAAAATTAATATCTGATGGGTTTCAGTCTGTCCCGTTTCAATACGGGTGTTTTTGTAAAAAATTAATCTCAAGTAGAGTCAAATTAATTTTTTTAGGAAAATAGAGATGACCTTGAAGCGGATTTAAGGCACTATGCCTAACCCATCTTGTAGTATATATAAAAGTACATATTTTATTATCTATTTAATTTTATATTTATATATATTATATTAATAAAGTTATTATCTGATGCCTTCATAAAAGACATTAACATTTTAAACTCAATTTGGATGTTCATATGGCAACTTAATGATGTATTTTTTCCCTTTTTTTGTTTATTTTGTTTATTGTTTTTTCTTTTTATATTTTTTATTAATAAATTTATTATTTGATATCTTAATATAAGAAATTAACATTTTTAACTTAACTGAGATGTCAATAGTACCAAAATGAACTCTTATTTACCTTTTATTCTTTTTTTTTTGTTTTTGTTTTTCCCTTTTTTATACTCTTTTAATTAAATTAATTTTGTTAAAAAAAGATGTCAATGAATTGTCTACTTGGCACCTAATTTGACTTTTTTTCCTTTTATCTTTTTTTAATTTTTTTAATTAGATAAATTTTATAATAAAAGATATTAATTAATGGATATGCCGAAATAATCCATTTCGACAAATTTCTATCCATCTCAATATGCTAAGAGATGATTTTTTTAATATTTATATCATATAGACAAAAAGGTTAAGAAACCTTGAATAAAAATTCATTAATCATCTAAAATTTTGATATTTTATTATAATTGATCATATCCTAAAGTTTTTATTTCGGATCAGTTGAGCTATTAAGCATTTGTTTTTATTTAATTAAATCCTTTAACATTTATTTTCACCTTAATTGAGCTCTTAACTAGATGAAAATTGATATTGAAGGTTAATCAAATTTTTCCTAATAAGAACTTAATTAATAAAAATAAATTTTTGAAGATTTAATTGATTGTAATAAAACAATAAAGATTTGGATGATTATTGAATTTTTATTTAAGGATTTTTTTACTTTTTAATTTATTAGAAATATTTGTAACTGAAGTACTATTTATAATTATTTTTATTTAGCTTTTTATTTTTTTACTTCTATAATCGTTACTTTTATTAAAACTATTTAAAACAAACATTTCTTATTCATTAAATTTATAACAAATATTATTACGTACAAATAATAAAAAAATTAAACCCATGATAGAGCGCGTATCAATTTCTGGTAATACTAAAACTTCATAGAAGTTTGGTGAGCCCTGCCCTTGCACTTGCCGTTGGGGCTTAGCTGTTTTCTAGCTTAAATTCCGGTCTCCACTCCAGAGCTTTTGTCGGTTAGTCAACCAAAAATGATTTGGGTTGGCCGATGACCCCACTTCACGCCAACCGCACCCTTCCAAGGCTCCAACTACCTTCGTAGGTCAACTTTTCTCGTTTTCCTCGTTTCTAATTTCTATTACAGTTTACAGATTTGCATACGGACAAGTTAACTACGAATTTATGATATCTAAGAACAAAAGCTGTGAAAATAACAATGCCATAATCTACAATTTGAATAAGAATAAGAGTGATATTCAGATTTTGACTTCAAAAGGAAAAGTGAAATAGAAGCCCCTAGGAGAAATCTATCAGGGCAATAAAATACAATAAAATGAGAATATATATATATATATTAAATTTGATAATTTATATATTTGTATTTATAAAATATTAATAATTTATATATTTGCATTATATATTTTTATAAAAACTATATATTATAATTTATATCAATATAAAAATATATTTTATTATTTTATTATAATTTATTTATAATATATTTATAATAATTATTAAAATTTTAAATTATATTATTTTTATATTTATTTTTTATTTAATATGATATCGTTATATTATATTTAAAATTATCAATTTTAGTATATAGATTTTGATTTTGACTGATTAGGCGCCCGTGACCGCGTCTGGAGTTGTTTCCGTCAACCACTACAATTACACGAAGATGAAGTCAAACTTAACAAATTAGAATTTATATTTTGGTGAGCCACCGCCCCTTAATTGTTTCTGCAGAATAAATAAAAAATAGAAGATAGAAATTGACTTTGGAATTGTAAATTAATGTTGGTCTCTAACCTTTTTCCATATTTGGTTTTTTATATAGTCAGCAATTGTGGAGGAGAACCTTCCCTTAATCATTACATGATTCTGAAATTGTTGATGGGGTCGTCTCTGTCCTGTTTGCATTACGGACCGAAGGTAACAAACATTTGGCTAGAATTCTATATTAAAATTATTTAACATTATTTTCACCTATTTTTAATACACAACAGATCTTAAATTATAAATAATAAAAAAATTTTAAATAATAAAATTCGAATTTTAAATTTATTAAAAATTATTTTTAATAAATAATATATAAATCAATTAAATTAAATTTTAAAATTTACTTTTTATATATTTTTCGGAATCATTACTATTTAAATTTTTATTGATAAAATAATTTTATTATCTTCTTATCTTATTTATAGTTTTTAAATATTTCAATTTCTAATAACACCTTTTCATATCAAAGTTAAACACTTGAAAATATTAAATTAAAATTTTCTCACAATTTTTAAACACATTTTTTTCTAAATTTCAAACAGTAATACCAAACTTTTATGATTTACTGATTAACAGCTCTGAAAAGGTAAAGAACCATTTTTATCCACGATCCAGCTGCAAAGCTCAATAGAATAGTAGTACTATTAATAAAAAAATATTGAAAGTTCCAAATCCCAGTTTTAAAATGCTGAAAAGAGGATTAGGCGAAAGCTTTTTAATGCAATCGTTTGAGTTTGACGGGTATTTTCCGTGTGGAAAGGGACCTGAACGGAAAAGGAGTAAACCACTATTTTTGAAAGTGTCAGCGGCCTGGTTTACCAAAACCAAAAAGCACAGGACAAAAGCATAATATTTCATTCCTCCAAATTAAACAAATCAAAACGTTTATTCCGTTCTGATCTTCTCTGCAGCAATCCAACTCTTCCATGGCTGTTAAGTTTCAGACTCTGATCTTTATCAACCTGATGGTTGTGTTTTTCATTTCTGTCTTACCTTTCGCTTATTCCCAAGGTTCTCCTCAAAATATTGAAGTTTTTTACCCATCTGCTCCATCTCCTGCCCCAGATCCAATTTCACCAAAACCTTCAAGTGCTCTTCCAGGTCCAGAAAGATCATTAGATTCACAACCACCGCCACCATCATCACCATCTTCATCGAATGACACCAATAGTACTATTGCAAAGGCAGTTGCTGCAACTGCTGCCAGCACTATAGTTATTGCAGGAATATTCTTCTTTTTCATTAGAAAATATGTTGTTGCACAACGCAAAAGAGAGAGAGTTGGGGATAGTTTGCGGGGAGGTCAGGCTAGAGTGCTTCCAGATGACTTTGCAAGAGTTAATGGACCTATAAAGGGATTAATTGTAGATGAGAATGGTTTAGATGTGCTTTATTGGCGACAGCTTGAAGACGGAGAAAGCAAAAACGGCTTCCATAAAGAGATTTTGCATAGTCCAAAGGATGAAGAAGAAGGAGGAATGGTTCGAAAAGGAAGTCGAAGCAAGAAGGTAGAGCCTGTACAGGAAATTCCTCTGCTTCGTGGGAAGTCATCCACTTCCCATGTTCCACCTCCTGAAGATGTTGATGATGATGATTCAAGTGAAAATATAGGTCCTCTACCTCCTCCCCCATCTCATGGGATTGTCCTAAAAGCAGTAGAGAAAAGGGAAGCACCGGTTCAATCAAAATTTTTGCCTCCAGCATCAATGCAACCTGCACAACCTCCAACGCCACCACCACCACCTCCATTACCAATTCAAAACAATAATAGAAGTCCGGTGACTCCTCAGCCTCCACCCCCACCAGCTCCTCCAGTTCCAGCAAAAACTCCTGTCTCACCACCTCCACCTCCTAACAAAGCGGGTGGTTCAGCTACGTTTCTGAAACCTCCTCCAGCAGCCAGTGATAAGTCTAGTAGGGGTAAATCAGGGGAGTCTTCTGGAGATGGTGCCACGGACGGAAATAATCAGATGAAATTGAAGCCATTGCACTGGGATAAGGTGAACAAGAAGAATGTTGGTCATTCGATGGTGTGGGACAAAATCAATGGCGGTTCTTTTAAGTAAGTCCAAATTTACTATTTCTCAATCTATAAGCAAATTTTATTCTTTTTCTGACAAAAAAAGAACAATGTTTTACTTTTTTACTGATTTGGAAGCTCTTTTTTGAATTGATTCTTCAGGTTCGATGATGATCTTATGGAAGCTTTATTTGGATATGTTGTAACAAATAGGAAATCCGCTACTGGTAGTAGTAACTCAAAGAATACAACGAGTACAAACGCTAGCCCATCAGCACAAATCATGGTTCTTGATGCCCGAAAATCCCAGAACATAGCAATTGTGCTCAAATCTTTGGCTCTCTCTCGTAGGGAACTCCTTGAAGCCCTAAATGAAGGACACGGGCTTGAAGCAGATACTGTTGAAAAGCTCATGAGAATTGCCCCCACAGAAGAAGAACAATCCCAAATCCTTGATTTTGATGGAGATCCAACAAGACTTGCCGATGCTGAATCCTTTTTGTTCCACATTTTAAACGCTATTCCCTCAGCCTTCATACGTCTTAATGCCATGCAATTTAGAACAAACTATGACTTGGAAATTCTCCTCATGAAGGAGTCTTTACAAACACTAGAGTTTGGGTGCAAGGAGCTTCGCTCTCAAAGACTGTTTATGAAACTCCTAGAAGCAATACTCAAGGCTGGCAATCGCATGAATGCTGGAACTGCCCGAGGGAATGCTCAAGCTTTTAACCTTAATTCACTACTTAAGCTCTCTGACGTTAAAAGCACTGATGGAAAGACTACTCTACTCCACTTTGTGGTAGAAGAAGTAGTCCGGTCCCAGGGAAAGAAATGTTTTATCAGCAGAAGTCATAGCCTTAGTCGCAGCAGCAGCAGCAGCAGAAGCAGCAACATTAGCAGCTCTGATCATTCAACACCAAAAGAGGAGGACAGAGAGAAGGAATATATTATGCTTGGATTACCAGTAGTAGGAGGCCTAAGTGCTGAATTCACTAACGTGAAAAAAGCAGCCACAGTAGATTTCAACACATTTTCTGGCACTTGCTCAGCTCTTACTGCTCGTGTAGCAGAAGTTAAACAGCTTGCATTGCAATGTGTGGCTGATGGAAAAGGGGGATTTGTACAAGAAATGAAAGGGTTTCTTGATCATGCTGAAGAGGAACTGAACGCTATAAGAGAGGAGCAAAAAAGAGTGATGGATCTTGTAAGAAGAACCAAAGAGTATTATCAAGCAGGGGCTTCAAAGGATCCTTTCCAAATATTTGTTATAGTTAGAGACTTTCTAGGTATGGTCGACGGGGTCTGTGCAGAAATAGCAAGGAATCAACAAAGAAGGAAGTCATCAACTGCAAATTATGGATCACAATCACCAAATTTACAAGAATCAAGAACCAAAATGAGGTTCCCAGTCTTGCCATCAAATTTCATGACAGGCAAGTCCAGGATCAATTCTAGCGATACAGATGTAGATTCATGAACAGGAACAGATCTTCATCACAAAGTCTTTGTACATAAAATTCATACGAAAATTCTAGATTCGGAACAAGTATAGCAAAATTATTTTTAAATTCTTCCATTTTTTTTGTACTAAATTTTGATGATGTGGTAAATATATTGAAGTCTGATTTTTCTGATTCAAACTTGTTCCATTGGGTAAGCACTGGGAAAAGCAGAGGATTTTTGGACTTGAAAATTCATAAAGTAAGAAAACTGATCTCCATGATCAAACAGAGAATGGATTATGGTATTAACAAATTTTATATTCAGGTGTGCAGCTAGAAACTATCATGCACTAGTGAACCAATATTAGATTATGTACATCTTTTCGGAAATGTTTCATAATAGCTTTAAGCGTTGAATTATAGGCAGATCATACATTAATCATTCAGCTGAATAATCAATCATAAACATAAATCTCACGTCTGCACGTACAAGCTATCTTTAGAGCTGAACATAACAATGCTCTTGATAGAGCAAATTCTACCATTAACCAATATTTCACAGTTTCAGTCATCTGCTAATTAAGAGTTATATCCCCTTGTCCGGTACAGAAAATTAGTGCCAACATCCACAGTTTCTTCTTCATAACTATCCCCCTCCCCTTCCCCTTCCTCCCATCCCCAAAAAAAAAAAAAAAGAAGTTACACATCTTATGTATGGATATCTTTTGTTGAATATCAATTTAAAAAGAAAAAAAAAAAAAACATGACTGTGACTCGTTGCACATTGCTTATAAGTTAGCTTTGGGACTCTGTCACACTTTCTCCTGGAACCAGACACATATAATTACAGTCCCCGCATTTATTTGCTTGTAACATGGGCTGTATTGCCCCTCACACAAGAACAAGCTGCAAGAAAGGCTAGCTAATGTCCATCATGAAAAGTTGGCGTACTTAAGTAAGAAGAACGCTTTCTTCCTTTAATGCAAGACCAGGAAATTTAAGTGAACCCAGGCGATCATATCCACCGAAAATTACAAAGTTATTGATATTATCAAATGGCCCTTGTAGTCTTCTCAAACAGGACTCCATAACTGTCATAACCCAAAGCTTCAAGAAATAAGATACATTCATTAAATCCAAACCAAACTGCTCTAATTACAATTGCAACATCAATCCAATGATAATGTAAAAAGTTCTGGCAAGAAAGAGACCATTCAGAAACAAAGTCAGAAGTTAGAACTAACTATGACTTACCATGCAAAGAATCATTTAATTAATGCAAATACCAAACTTTATTCTTTGGCCAACGAAATTAAACAGCAATGCTGCCAATCCACCGCTTTAATTTTTAGCAATATCATTTTCATTTTTATCATAATTTTTTTGGGAGTTTGGTGCGTGCCAAGTTGGACTATATGGCGTCACCTCATCAAGAAGAACCCCCCCAGCTGTGCATCTCATGTCTCATTTTCAGCGGAGGAATGCCAAAAAAAATATTGCCATTTGTGTCACATACCAGTTCCCACATTGGCTGTTAAAATTCTAAATATCCTCTGAAGAGATGACGACTTCAAACTTTGTTTATTTCTAGTTTTTTCCACATTGGAAGAAAAGGGCTGTTGGTTGTGTCATGATAGCTACAACGTAACATAACCATGATCTAGAAAAAGAGCACTGCATTCTTGCCAAAGCTAGAGAAATAGTGGACTGGTCAGCAGTAGGCAGGAAAAAATATTAGTAAGCAAAAAAGCCGGTAATGGTACGCCATGGACTCGTGCTGCTTACACCAGACTCTAATGTTCCTTGTGATGCTGCAATTTCCACTTTCTATAACTGAAATTATGTGAACCAGAATTGACCTGCATTTTACTGTGAGATTATTCTTTTTTTTTTAAATTATATTTTAAATATGAAAAAAGTAAAATTTTTTTGCCAATTTTTAATAGAGGATAACATATAGACAAATTTAATTGTATTTATTTTTTAATATAAATTATAAATTAATTATATATAATATAATTTTTTATTAAATTAAGATATTAAACAATATTTTTATTAATATAATACATATATAAAAATATAAATTAAATAAATAATAAAATATATATTATTATATATTCTTATGAGGGTCAGCAAAGAGTATCTCAAATCCAATTCTGACTTGGATCAAAATTGTTCAAAAAAACAAAATTTAATCCAATTCTTATTTAAAAAAAAAAAAAACTCATCGATTGGATCATGATGAATAAAAACTTATTAAATATAGGTTATTTTGTTATCTCTACATTAGTAGACTTTTTCTTTACAAAATTTATCTAATAAATAAAATTTTAGAAAAAATAAGCTAAATTAGGTCACACTTGAATTTATTAAATTAAAATATTAAATAATATTTTTTTTATAAAATAAATATATAAATATAAAATTAAATAAATAATAAATAAGTAGTTTTTATATATATACCAAAGTCGAAGTATAACACTCAAATCCTTACTTTTATCCAAACTCGATTTAAAAAAAATCCAATTATTTTGAATTGAAAGAAAACGTATCAATTAGATTGAGACAAATCAAAACTTATTAGATCGTGTTATTTTGTTATTTTTATCTCAATTGACTTTTTTATTATAAAATTTATTTAATAAAAAATAAAAATTAATGAAAAAAAAAAGAAACCTAAGGAAAATAAAAACTTAAAAAAAAAAAAAGTGTCATGTCAACGCCCAAGATGGAACGAAACACATTAAATCTATCTTTAACCTAATTTCATTTTAAAAAAAAAGCATTGGCCCAATCTTGATTTAAAAAAAAAAAGAATTTATGTTTGAGCAGTGTGAATTAAAACCAATAAGATACAGATTGTTTTATCATCTCGAGTTTTATCTTATTTTTTTTTTTTAAAAAAAATTTGCCTAATTAAAAAATCTAATAAAAAAATTTAAAATATAAATCTTATAAAAAATAAAATAAAAACATAAAAAGTAGAGAATTAACGGAGGAATAATGGAATGTCATATGAACACTCTGTCCTTTCTTATTATCTACAAAATTAAGTATTAAAATCAGACCCATGCTTAGTTGCGGGACTTTTATTTTTAAATTATATTTTAAATATAAGAGAAGTCAAATTTTTATGTATAATTTTAATGGATGACAGCATATAGACAAATATAAATGTATTTATTTTTTTAATATAAATTATAACTTAATTATATATAAATATAATTTTTATTAAATTAAGATATTAAATGATATCTTTATTAATACAATACATATATAAATATAAAATAAATTAATAATAAAAATATATCATATATTCTAATGGGGCTGGAGCAAAACACCCAAAATCCAACTTTGACTTAACTCAAATTGTTCAAACAGGTAAAATTTAATCAAATCCTTATTTTTTAAAAATAAAATTTGCTTCAATTGGATTATGACCAATCAAAACTCATAAGATATAAGTTATTTGTCATCTCTATATGCATTGATTTTTTTTTTTTACAAAATTTATCTAATAAAAAAATTTAAAAAAGTTAAGAAAATGAAAAAAAAAAGTCAAATGAGATGGCATGTGAGTTTTTTCAATTAAAGTATTAAATAATATTTTTTTTCAATAAACCATGTATATAAATAAAAAATTAAATAAATAATAATATATATTTTTATATATATCAAGACCAAAGCATAACACTAAAAATCTTACTATTACTCGAGCTCGATTTAAAAAAATTCAATCAAATTATCTTAAATTAAAAAAAATATATACTAATTGGATAGAATACGAGTTATTTTATCATTTCTATATCAATTGGCCTTTTTATTATAAATTTTATACAATAACAATTACAAAAAAAAGGAAAAAATTAAAAACTTTGAAAAAAAAATAACAAAAAATAAAGGAGAGAGGTTTATGCGGACACACGAGATGGGACAAAATACCGTAAATTCATCTCTCCAATTCAACTTCATTTAAAAAATAACTCGACCTGATCTTAATTTTTTTTAACAAAACACACATATGTTGGCGGAATATGACTTCAGAGAGGCTGTTAAAATAGATTAACTTTGGCTCAAACAAAAAAGAAAAGGAAGATCTGTGACTTCAGATTTTGATTGTTAAACAGACTGTTTCGATGGTCGGGCTGTTGATGCTTAGTTGAGATCCCAGGCATAAATTCTAGGTTGATCTTGAAAGTTGGAACTGGAAACAAGCTCGAGATAATCTCAGCTGTTAAGCAAGATTGCAATTTGCAAGTTTGATTGATTGATGTTCTCAACACTAGATCCTATTAAAAAATCATAGCCTAACACTCTCAAACAATGAGAAATAGAGGTTGTTGCTGAAACTATGGTTGATTCAATCTCAATTGTCAAGCAGGATTCGGTACATAAATAAGCATTAAGTGGCTCTTTTTATCCACATTTAATAACTAAAGACTAAACTGCAATCACAGATACGGGTTAAAAACAATGAATGCTGTGTTGACCAGCTGCTGTCTAGATTAAGGGCAGAAGTAAACCTCGAAAAATCAAGGGTTTTCTTTTCACCAGACGCAAACCAAAATCAGAGACATGATCTTGTGAATTCTTTGGGGATTCGAGAAACCGATGATTTGAAAAATATCTTGGTTTTCCGATACATAAAAGAAGGGTTAGTAAACAGGACAATGCCTTTATTGTGGTTTAGGACTTTACGGGCGAATACCTCAACCAAGGAAATTCTTCCAAGCCCCGCACTAATTTGTCTGTGACTTGGAAAGCTTTGAGATGGGCTGCAAAACGGGCCTTTCAACAGAAATGAGAGTGATATTGATGTCAGACAATTCCTTAATAGCACTTCAGCTTCCAACAAGGTCTCCCAATTTCGTTCCAACTTCTTTCTGGCCTGGTGCATGCAAATATGCAATCAGAGCTGTTCCTACCCACTTGTTTGCTCAGGAAAATAATTCAATTTCAACCTATTGGACAACCTCTACAAGTGGAAATTTTACCACTTAATCTACCTATGATTTTGTCAAAGTACAAGAAATACTAGTAAGTCAGAATGGCAATGGATTTGGAAGCTCAAAATCCTTCCCAAACCTCAGTTTTTCGTTTGGGAATGCATTCATGAGATCCTCCCAGAAAGAACCTTCTTGAAATAAGGGTTTGATGCTTCCAGATAAATGTGCATTTTATTCTCAAGAATCTGAAGACATCCACTGCATCTTCAAAGAATGCCATTGGGTTAAGGAGATTTGGATGGGACTGAGGGATGTTCTCCTCAACTCCTCTCTTGAAATGGAAGTCAAAGAGAGGAGAGGAATGCGTCTAACAACCACCTCAACTCCAAATTATGTTAAAGTCTTGTTGTATTCTTATGCAGCGGGGCAGTTTTTGTACCAAACTATTTTATAAGTTAATCTAGTTCCACTTTCACACCATAAAAAAACACAGATAAGGGTTCAATAAAACATAACTCCAATGTCTATCAGCATATACTATTGAAATGTTCATTGTGTATCTTAATAGATGCAAAATATATTTTTCTACTACTATATGGCAGGGAAAGGTGAGGGAAGTAAACAGTTCATCAAGAGTGGATAAGCGCCAACCTCTTCTCTATTTCTTGCTCCATTATTGGAATACCCCACCTTGACCACAAGATTGAGGCATTCAAATACACAGCATTTGACTCATCAATAACAGATTCTAGATGGATTACCAATAAGCAAATAATATCATGGCATGGATCCTTAATGAAAAACATGCCTTCAGATATACCTTTCCTTGTGCAGCGACGTAGTTAGCCTCCAAAGCTGATGTATTTCTTATGTCTCTTTTCCAACCGTTTTTCATATTAAACCATCTTGATTTTTCTTCAGTAGTTGTAGATGATGCGGGGTTCATTGACCCAAGGAAGCCAGGTTACCAATGGATGTCACTCTTGGTACCTATCTGTGAAATTACAGACATGAAACAATACATGTTAAGACCAAGCAGGTGATGGAAATGTACGCTTTAAGATGATCGGAATCCAAAGTTTCATGTTGGATGAAATTGAAAACAAGAAACAAAAGCAAGAAATACCTTATCAAGAGGGCTTTCTGATGTTCTCTGTCCATGATAAAATCCAGGTAGGGGTGTAGCTTTATAATTAAGGCTCTGCCTTAACTTTTTGATCTCTGCATCTCTGTTATCCTGTGTCAATCATATAGAGTGTTGAGCAATGTCCATTGTTTAATTTAGATAATCATATGCCAGACAGTGCATTCTTAAGAGTGCTGACATTTATCTCGCTTAGAATCTGACAACCATAATGCCTGTCAAATTTTCTATCTTATCTTATGTTTGATTAATTATGAGACTTTATGAACATTGGCAGTGTATCAAGTTGATCGCAAGAATGGGAAGATCTGTTCTCACGAAAGAAAATTAATGGTACCTTCAGTTTTGTCTCGAGATATTTTCTCTCTGCTTCTCTACTATTGGATTTTTCTTCCAATTTCTTCGAGAACTGAAATAAAGGATATGAGATGCTGAGATTCTAACTAAATACAAACAATGTACATCAATATCAAAAGAAATTGTGCATGCTATACAAAAGGCAAGAGAAAGATGTCATCAATGCATACCTCCTTTCTTCTCTCTGCCCTTTCATCACTTTTCAAGCCAAAATAAGATGGAGGAGCCTTAGCATTTTTTTTCTCCATGCCACTAACTCTAGAAGGCCTGTCAAATATCAATTAATGCAACAATGAAGAATTTTCAAGTTGATGCATGCTTCAGGCACATGCATAACTCTGCTTATTGGAAGTGATATTTTAAGAATTACTCCTTCTGCCTCAGAGAGAGGTGGAGAAACTGATAGCATGAATTTTAAATTAAGGAAAGTTAGTGCAGGCCTGCAAATTTAAGGCCATAGAGAAGCTAATTGTGCTTATAGTGTAAATGAGTTTCTAACAAGAATGTTCATTTCAAGTGGTATTGTCCAATTTGTTAAATATTAGTGATCCAACAACTAACAACTTGTTAATTGCTCAATCTCCAATTCCTCCCCCCAACAAAAAAAAAAAAAAAATTCCTTTTTGACCTTTTGTAATTTCAGCCCCTAAAAAGAAGATGAGGAAAAAGGAGGGAGAGAGAAGAAAGAGGATTGACATAAAGAAGAAACCTTGGTAATGATATGATAATCAGTACTGCAGTTGGAAAAAAGGGAAACACAACCAATAGAAAACAACTGAGCTCAATCCTCTTTAACTTTCAAATATGCATTTTTACATTCATAGCCGTTGAAAAAATAACTCTCTTTCAAACTCCCTTCAATTAAGAGCAAATACTTTTAGACATTCTGCTGCGATGATTTATTACCTTCAAATATGAGCTAATCCATTAAACATTACCAGAAGTAGTATTTGAGTAGTAAAGTTAGAAATGAAAAATGACAATTAATTAGGGCGTTAGCCCACTCCTTTGTACCCCCCAAAAAAGATGACAATTGATTCAAACAGGTTTATGGCTAAGATACTAGATACCTAAGACAAATATATATATATATATATGTATATATCAAATGCCTATATATTGTCCGTATCCAACATCCTCTCCATCTCAGAACTCAACTAGCATGCAAATTCACTAATGCAACATGTATGCGTTTGTCAGCAGAAATTTTTAAACTCAGAACCTTACCCTCCATTCTCCTTTTGTGGAGTTGTCAGAGTGGAAACCCTTGGTTCTCTCCCCTTTGCAAGCACCTGGCGATGAAAAATTTAAACAAAAGTTCCATGAATGTTAATTTATGTAGTAGAAATAGATTGTCAGGTAGACCTTAAGGATTAAAAATGATAACATAGTACCTGTTTTGTTGCTGGAGATTGTTCCAGCCTGTAAGGTTTCAATTGGTTATAATTATTTTGAAATGTCTTAAATGCTCGTTTGACAATTTCCTTATCTCCCATTTTCTCCATAATTAAAGATTTTCTTGTTGCCGCAAGGGAAACTGGGCCGGAACCTGAGGGACCTAAACTAAGGGACATGTGCAAGGATCTAGCAGCCGCTTTCTTGCTTTCTATCACAGAAGGATTCTTGGTCTTTGGTAAAGAATAAGATAAAGTATTTCCCATTTTTGGAGTTCTTGATGCAGGCAATGTATTAGGAGTTGATGTTGGCTTTGATGCCCTTGGTGTAGAAAATTGTGGTGTCTTAGTCACAGAGGATGCAGGTTTCTTCTTTATCCTAGTCTCATTTTTCTCCTTATTCACTGGTGTAATCTAGACAATCAAAATGAGAGCGGAAAGCATCATTTGCCAAAATTTGAAGAGATACACAACAAGTTCACTTAAGTCAAGCTTTCCGATATACAAAATCAGTTCAAAAACATGAAACTCACCTTATAAGATTTTACTGAATGACCCAACTTTAACATTTTGTCTTTGATCTTTGGAGCGTTTTCTATGTCTTTTTCTGATATCTGAGCTAACTCCTTCACATCTTGAGACCGCTTGGAAAGAATTTCCGCATCTGGTTTTGCCAAAACGGCTTCATCTGCAGCAGTTTCTTCCGGTTTGTTTAACTTTGGACTTTCCAGTGTGCTACTATCTATTTCCTCTTTTACTTGACCCTCCACTCTGCTATCTATTTTCTCTTTCACTCCCTCAACCGATGGGTTTTGACAATCAATAGTAATTTCAGGCTCCTCATTCGGCTCATCATAATGGATGTCATTCACCTCAATTACCAATTTAGTTTCTTCTTGCTTATCTCCTTCATCAGAGCACTGACCATTAGATTTACCAACCAGATCTCCACAGTTCTGATCATCTGAGTTGAGGGATTTACTTTCCAATGTCTTCTCTTGAGCCAGTAGCTCAGCTTTTCTTGCAGCAATCTTCTTGTAATGTTCTTCAAAGTAAGCTTTTTTCTTAGCTACTGATCCGGGGGTTGCACACTTCTCGACCTCCTCCAAGTACTTGTTTGGCGAGAAAGATGACCATTTCTCCCAAGAAAGTGAATCATTCGCAAATCTCCCAAACGAGACTGACACTTCGAGAGCAGGGTTTGAAGAAGCCATCTCCCCAATCTATTTACATGACAAAAAAAAAAAAACCAAAATTGAAGCATATTCTGAAGCTACAAACAGCATGACAACTCATACCAACACCCAAAAACGTAAAAAGCATGGAATTGATGCAATTATGAAGTGCAAATTCAATCAACAATCAACAAAAAACAAATTAAATTCAAGAAACAATAATGGAAGGTGAATTAAAAACAAATGGGCCAACTTTTTTTCCAGATCACAAAGACAAAACTTGTGCACCTTAACTTCTTTACTTGAAGCTTCTACTCTTGGTTCACCCATTAAATTCCCAAAACACAAAGGAGACTGGAACTTCAATTATCACAAAGCTACCACATCAAGACAAAAAATTTAAGCACGCCATGGCTTGGCAGCTGGCATGGGCAGCCTCATTAATCCATTGGATCACACACTAAAAGACCCGAAGAATAAACAATTCAGAATAAAGACAAAAAGAAGCTTTGAAAAATGGAACCAAATATGAGAAATAAGAAGAAACGAATAAGGGGAGCATGTGCTTTGGTCTGAATAATTTGGTATTCTTACATTTCCTGCTATTACCAAATTCACCTTTTCATGTTAAAATGACAATCTCTGTCCGTTTCTTGTACTTGTGGAAAGTCCAAAATAAAGAACTCAATCATTAAAGGAAAGAAAAGAAACAGAGAAAAAAAAAAGAGCAATAAAAAATGAAGATAACCCAGTTGGTTACATTTCCCAAGATGACTTAAACTTTTTAATAGTATATATGATTACTACTATTTACAGTGGAAGAAAAAGTTGAAGAAGAGAAAAAGAGTTTTTTTAAAATAGTAACACGAGAGTGGAGATATCAGATATGACAATTTGCCTAAAAGGTTGTTGGATGAATAATGAAGATTAAACAGAAAGAAAGTTGGGCACATTGAATAAACAAAAGGGAGTAAGAACAACTAATCTCAACAAATGTTTAATAATAGTACCACATACCAATGAAAAATTTTCAGTCAAGATCTCAGAGAAAGAGTGATGAGATGAGGGTTGAAAAATGATATAGAAGATGGGTAAGGGAGGGTCCACATTGGAAAGTAGTGAAGTAAAGACTAAAGAGAGAAGGCAGTGCTTGTGAGAGGGCAACAAGTTGACAGGCTGCTTTGGCGAATTAAATATCAAGTCTGCCTTAGGACACATGTGGTTGTGGAATGTGGACCCTTTGATTCATTGTTTTTCGTTGAACTAAAACGATGTGTGCCATTGCCACCCTGCCACATTATTGACAATTGACAAACAATGGAACAAAACCAAAACAACGGTTCCAATCTTCCATTTTTCTCTGCTATTTCTCATCACAAAAGTCTTCTAAAAAATTCCTTTGTTTCCTATAGAAATTTTATAATTCTGCCTGTTCTGATTTTTGAAGCATTGATTCTGCTGATTATCTAGAGAGAGGCAAAGTGATGATGAACTGGCTAACACTCATTGAACAGAAAGGACATTTGCTTGAGAGCAAATAAAGATGTCACAGTTGTCCAGTCAGTTTTAAACACACCATCACTTGGGGGGTTTATCTCAACACCCTTTTACTTGCCTTGTTTCTTCCTCCTCTATTGCCTCTTAAGCTACTCAATCTCCTTAGTAAAAAGGAAAAAAAAATGCACTTCTACTTAAAACATCAGCGTCTGAACTCCACTATATATAACTTCTTTTTGCTTCTTGAAATTCACATCTCAAATCCAAAAACTCTCCTATTCCTTGAGCCTTATAATAAGATCAGCATGAACATCAGTTGCCTATTTCTTCAACTATTCTTCGGCCTAACTCTTCTACTGGGCCTTGCTACATCAGACCCTGACCCTCTTCAAGATTACTGCATTGCGGATACAAAATCCCCTTTATTTCTCAATGGTGCACCCTGTCTCAACCCAAGTCTAGCTCATTCCTCTCATTTCACCACTTCAGCTCTTGCCAAACCTGGTGACACGAAGTCTAACCCAATCGGCTTCAGTATTACACTAACCACCCTTGCTAATTTGCCAGGAATTAACACCATGGGTCTAACCATGGCCCGTGTCGACATAGCGTCTAACGGGCTTGTTCCACCCCACTCCCACCCACGGGCCTCAGAAGTTACCATCTGTCTAAAGGGTGTTCTTCTTGTGGGCTTTGTGGATACCTCTAACCGCCTCTTCACTCAACAACTTGGGCCTGGTGACTCCTTCGTATTTCCAAGGGCTCTAATCCATTTTCTCTACAACCTGGACTCAAGGAATCCCGCTTTGGCTGTATCTGGGCTCAGCAGCCAAAACCCAGGTGTACAAATAGCTTCCAGGGCTATATTCGTATCAAATCCATCAATTCCTGACGTAATTTTGGAAAAAGCATTTCAAATCAGCAGCACGGACATTGCCAAGATTCGCAGGAACCTTGGCGGGTGATTCAAGTGACTACGTTTTTATTTTTATTTTTCTGAAGTGGGATCATTACAGATTTTTGTTTATTAGTTATTTTTGTCTTTGAACATCATGTAGGAAAAAAATGGTAGTTCAAGTTCACACAAAATAGACCTTCCAACGGTCATATAATTGTGGATTCAAATTGTTTAAAAGAAAAACCATAATCAAGCAGGTGTTACTATTTGTTTATTGGGGCTGCTTGTGAAAGGAGTTTAACAAGAAATTGTATTTGAATTGAACTGAATTAAGTGAAAAAAAAAATCAACAAAGCAATTATTTATTATTTACTGCCAAGATCAAGATGGAAAGATTAGGGGCATTTAACAGTTACAATTCCTTGTTGATCAGTATTCTGAAATTTTCGAAAGAAGCAAATTTTTTTGTTGAAATCTGGTAAAAGTAATCAAACCCAATCATCATCTCCAGATCTAATTCCCTGGATTGTCTCAACTTTTAAATAATTTAATTTTATTCCTTACCCTTTTTGTTTTCCAAGTGAAAATGGAGTGTCAACCGTGGAACAGGTGACAGTATGGCAAATTGACAATTAGAAACTAATCAATGAACATAATCACAATCACGTTAGGCTTATTGGAAAATGTTATTGTCAACGCCACAGGCCAAAGCAGCTCCAAAGTCGAAATTTCTCAAGGGCCAAAGTTTTTCACAGGTAAAATGTGAAATGGATTAATGGAGGAACTCATTTGGGACTCTGCTCACAGCTTCTCTTTAGACCTTGGAATCATTGACACGTCTAAAACAGCCAAATCAAAATTAGGATTGTTGAAGTATTAGAAGAAAACAGACTTTAAACTGAATCATCCACGTGTAAATTTCTTGGTGGATAACAAGAAGCAGAAGCAAAAAGAAACACTAATAGGCTTCGAGTTGAGTGGGTCAGAGTGGTTGAAATATCATACAAAAGAGTGCGTGTTTGAGGTCCTTTGGACCCCAACTAGGTCCCGTGAACTGCTGATATAAGAGACATTTCACAAAAGCACAAAAAAATTGCATTGTTTCTGGTATCTTCCCAGCTCGCCTTTCATTATTATCTTACTGGCTTTGAACTTTAATGTTATCTTGCCTTAGAATCATTGTTAAAATACATGAAATGAAACCAATCATAGTTTGATAACTGGCAACCAATTCAATTATTTTTTCAAGGTCAGGAAAAGGACGGAGAAAAGAAAAAGCGAAAAAGCAAACCACAAAACAAAACATCAATCAACCTCAGATACGTACAAGGAAAAATGGAAGGAAAAGAAAAATGTAAAAGCAGGGCAGAGAGGAGGAAATGGGAAATGGAAAATGAACGAAATTAACAATGAACAACTAAATGTTATTCCTCTCTCAATAATGTTTCTTCAATTACATACAAAGAAATCAACCCAACCAAAATTGTTCCAAAATATGGAACCCCCTCTGATGAAAGGAATTGATACCCCATATGTAAATCACAACAATAAATCCCAGCAAATAACCCCCAAAAAATATTAAAATTTTCGATCTGTACACAGCTGAGCTCTCTATCAAAGAATCATCATCGTTTCTGTAACAATGTAAAAAGAAAGAGAGAGAGAAAGAAAGAAAGAATCATAACAAATAACTGGAAAACCCCAAGAATATTGAAGTAGTAGTAGAAGAAGACCGATCTTTGACTAAACTGCCCTTGTAAAGATCGTAGGGTTCCCAAAGATGATCAAGCGGGCAAGGCTTTCTGGCATCGAGTCGAACCCAGGGCTTCCCTTTCCCACTCCAATGCAACAAGCTAACCGGACCAGGATGCAACGACCGACAAGAACCTCTTATATTGTCCCCCCCAAGCCCATGTTGGTTCCATCGATGATCAATCGCTTCAACATTCCCAGCAAATACAAGCAAAAACGGAGGCAACGAACCCAACTCGTAAATCCTTCGTTTCTTCTGTATTTCCATCCAATTCTCAATTCTTTTCCTATAATTTCCTTCTCTCCAACGAACCAAATCCATTACCATAACCCCCGTGTTGAAATAACACGGCTTTCTCGACTGGAAGACCCTGGAAATAACCGGGTCGAACCAAAACCCGTCCGTGAAATACTTGGTGAAGTTGGCATGACAATATTCCGGTGCGCCGATCACTCGTGAGTTTGTTAGGGTTGTGCTCCAGAGTTTGAGAATGTCGTCGACGACGACCAGGTCTGAGTCAAGATAAATGACTCGGTCAACGCAAAGATCTAGGATGTCTCCTAGGTAGTTTCGAGCGTAGTTGAGAGGGTTCTCCAGGGCTTGCCGGATGGAAGAAGAGATTAAGTTGATCACGGAGTCTTCCCGGAAGATGTAGATTTTGAAGTTAAGTGAAGGGAACGTGGATCGAACGAGTTTGCTCAAGACTCTGGGACTGGCCGGGTCGAATTCGGCGGCTATGAAGTGAAAGAAGATGTTTTCTGGACATGAAGCGTGGCGGAGGACGGAGTGGACGGCGGCAATCGAACCACGCAAGTATTCGGAGTCTAAAGTCATCGCCACTTGGACTAAAGAGGGGTCGCAGGAGGAAACGACTTGTCTATTAGTGACAGAAACCGGACACTCCACTCCGTTACGGTAATCTGGAGCCTCCGAAAATCCAAAGCCCGACCCATCTCCTCCGCCTATGGTCCGAATCCCAACACAAAACGTCGCCGTTAGCAAGAAATGAAGAAGTAAGACGGCGGTGGCATGTGAAATGGAACGCATTATTGTGAAGAAAAAGAAAAGAGAAAAAGAAAAGGACTGTTTTTTTAATATTCAGTCGAGTTATTTGACAAAGAAATTCAGATGATCGGCATTGCGGTGAAAGTGATACGGAAGCAGAAGAGGAAATAAAGGGATGGTTGTGAAGATTTTGCAGGAAAAAATAAAATCAACACGGTTTCAAAGCGAAACGCGGCTTTATGATGAGAGGAAAAGAAATGAAAAGAAAAGAAAGTTATTATCACCCAAAATGAGTATTTGGAAGGGGAATTTTTGCAGGATCTTACCTTCCTGCTTTTACCTTCCTTCTTTTCTTCTTTTGATTTTCCTCTCTTTTCTTTCCGTGGAAACAACAGTTGAGGACCTGGTTGTCTCCTTAAATGAAAGTGAAACTGCTGAGGGAAGGAACCAATTGAATAGGAGATTTGTTTTTATTTTCTAAATATATTTTTTTATGCTCTTTTTTACAACATAAGCATTTTGAAACCAAATATATGGATTCTTTAAGAAAAAAAATATATGCGAAGATTCTTTAAGATTTGATAAAAATATATTCATTCTCTTTTTTTAATTTGACGAAAAAATCATTTTATCTTTTAAATTAGTTAATTTATAAAAAAATATTAGATAAATTTTTTTAACAAAAAATACCATTATAATAAAAAATATACTAAATAAAAGTGATCGATAATGTTGTTAAACAAAATGCATAATTTCCTTTTCATAAGTTATATATATATATATATATTTAACATATTGAAATGCATAATGCTTGCATTAAAGATTGAATAAAGAAAAGAAAAAGAAACCAAAAATGAATAAAAAAATAACGTCAAATTTTCCTTTTTTTTTTTGTAAAAATAGAGTAATAGTTCTTGACAAGTAAAAGTTCGTGGTATCTACCAAGTAAAGGATAGAAAAAAAAAAGTTACAAGTAAAATTAATGAGTTAAATACATAATTAGCTCACGTATTATTTTTTTATCAATTTAATATTTTATAAAATAAAATTTATAATTAAGTATCCAATTTTTATTCCGTTATTTATTTTAATATTATGAATTAATGTTGTTGTTAAATTATTAACATGATATCAATATTTCATAAAATTATTACGTATGTCAAAAATATTTAATCATCATCACATCATCATTTTCATTTAGCATTAAAAAAAACTTTTCAAAAATAAAAATAAATATAAAAATTTTAAAAAGAATACGAAAATTTTAAAAACAATTGCTAAAATTTTTTAAAATCTGAAAAAAAATTCCCATAAGTTTCAAACAATTTTGATAAAGTTTTTAAAAATTCCAAACTTGTGAAAATTTTAAAAAAGTTCCTAAAATGTTAAAAAATTATAAAATAGTAAAATTTTCAAAAAATTCTGAAAACCTAAAAAAATAAGAAAATTTTCTAAAATGTAAAAATTGGAATTTTAAAAAATTTTGAAAAACAATTTCGTAAAATTTTCAAAAATAAAAAATCTGAAAATTAAAAAGGAAATTCTAAAAATTAAAAAAAAAAAACTAAAAATTAAAAATAATTTTCATCAAAAAATCTGATTTTTATTTAAATTTCCAAAAAAGGAAAATTTTGAAATTAAAAATAAATCTACCAAATCAAAAAAAATTTAAAATCAAAAATTAAAAAAAGAAAGAAAAGAAAAAAAATCTAAGAATTTAAAAAATAAACTAAAACATTTTTTTAAAAATCACTTAGGGGCCAAATTATATTTTCATTTATATATATTTATTTATTTTATTCGAATACTTTTTCAGATTTTAAATTTTGTAAAAAATTAAAAAAATTTTATTTTTCAAATTATTTTGAATTTTTTAAAAAAAAATTTGGGTTTAACTTAATTAAGGATGCTAATTTGAAATAACAAAAAATATGACAGAATAAAAGTTTAATTGTAAATTTTATTTTTTTAAGTATCAATCTGACAAAAAAAGTATAATACATGGATATTTTGTATATAACTCAAAACTAATTTTTTATATTTGAACAATGAAGTAACAATTGATTATTGAAATGTTAAATTCATAATTTAAGGATTTAAATAGTAAATTTTTAAAAAAATCTAATAATAAATTTAACATAAAAAATAATAAACTATAGAATTTATCGTATTAATTACTCCCAAAGCTTAGTTGATTTGGTCAAGAAAAGAATTTCTTATTTTCTGTAAACAAGAGTTTTATCTTTGGGCAATCTAAAAATAAAATCTTGAAAGTATTATGCTAATATAAGGGAGTGTGCTATTGATATCGTCTAGGAGGAGATTTAGGCGTAGCAAAAGTCTGAAAAATATTCTTAATTGCTTTATAAAAACAAAAGTGAAGTTTATAATTATGACAACAATCACGAAGTATATTAACACTGTATTGAACTTTTAGACTCTGTTGGATTTATAAAAATTGGCTTCCAAAAAATATATTTTGAAAAATGCTGGCATTTTCAATAAAAGTAAAGATTTTTATTATTTAAATGATTTAATTACAAATTTTGGTAGGTTTTTGAAAAATCTGATTTGTTTTCAAAAAATAATATTAACATAACTATTAAAATATTAAAAATAATTTTCATTAAAATATTGAAAGTATTTATTATTGAAATATCAAAATTATTAACTTTTAATATTAAAATTTTTAAACATTATTATTTTTCACAATATTATTTAATATTAAAAAGTTGACAGATTTTATAGTACTACAGTCTTTTCTTTTGAGTCATTTAAATTAGATCATTTTAAATTATTTTAAATTCAAATTATTTCGAGTTTATATTAGATTGTTGATTTTAACTGATTAAATCAGATTGGGTGAAATTTGGATTTTGATTTGCTGGACATGTTTGCCGGATTCGGGTCAACTTTAACAATTATAAGTATTACCAAGAAATTTAAAGAGCAAGAGTTAGTAGTCTTGCCAATCTGTTAGCTTTGCTCTTAGGGATGGCTGAGGCAAATCGGGATTGTTAGTAGGAGTAAAATGTTTTGAGGAAGCGAAAATGTTGGCTTGGGTTAATGTATGTTTTAACGTAGACTGAACAATAAAACAAGGTCAAAGCTTGCATTTAATTTCCAATAGAAGATTGAAAGGCACATATTCTACAACTTCAGTCAAAGAAATTCTTTCCCTATATCCTACACAAATCTACATGTTGTATCACCGCCGAAAAAAGGTACACCAATGAAAAGCTTGATTTCGTTGTGAAATTAAAAAAAAAAATTTAATTTAATTAATTTATATAATTATTTTTAAAAAATAATATTTATAATTTATAATTTTATTCCTAAACTATGATTTAAGAAAAAAAAAAAAGAAGCCTGATTTCAGTCATCCAAGGCACAATCATTTAAGGCTTAAATGAAAAGGGTACCCTATCTTTCTTATAAAAAATTCTACTACATTTTAGGTCAAAATTCACCTATGTTAATTGAAAAATAAAAGAAATAATACTACTACTGCATTGTGGAATGATTTTAATTTTATGGCTTATTTTTCTAGCCTTTGCAATGTTCCAAAATGAAGAAAAAGAAGCTCTAACTGGAATTTTTTTTTGAAAATAAACAAATGGTATAATAAAACTTTTTTCTTAACAGTAGGGACTTTGGACGTTATTACTGCATGTTTACAAAATTACAATGGTATAAAAATAATTTCTCAAAATACGTCCCAAGAAAAACTTTCTATTAATGGAAAAAAACGTGTAAAAATTTGTAGAAAAAATTGTATACAAATTGTTATACTGTTATTGTAGTACAAATTGGATTTTGCTTAGTCATACCCGAATTAATTAAAAGTAAAAATTCTAAATATTAAACAATTTGAATCCAAACTAATTGATTTAAAAACATTCAAACTCCAAAGAATCTGAATTTGAAATAATATAAAATCAAAACAGATTGGATCCAAATTCATATAACTCAAATTTAATACTAAAATTTGATACTAAATTTTTAATTAGATTTTTAGATACTAATTTTATTCTTAAAATGAATCCATATTCAAAACAATCTCATTCATTCGAAAAGGACTGGAACCAATTCAAGTCTCTCTCAAATCTAAAACGGTTCAAATCCAAACCAAAATTTGAAACATCCGAATTTTAGGAAACCAAAAATGGTTGGCTTCGAATTTTCCCTTTATTCCAAGCAAAAAGCAAGAACCTTGGCTTCCCAGACATATATAGTTTGACAGCTATTATACGTATGCATCCAGCTGGCTGGTTGATGCCTAATTTCATCGTGGTTTGCTATGCCAGTTATCAGCCTGGCACTACCACCCACCTTTTCCTTCTCTCCTCCACATGATCACGTGCTCTCTCTCTCTCTCTCTCCTCTCTCCATCCTTCCTTTGCCTATTTATTTATGCTTCCTTCCTTCCTTCCTTCCATTTCATCTTTTTCCTTTTTAGGTTTTTTTTTTGGGTACCGAGAATTTTTGTTTTCATTTTTGGTATAATCATAGAGAATTTAATATTATTTTTAAAGGGGGAATATGATGTAGGCAACAGAATTGTTCTTCCGTATTCTCCTTCATTTTGAGTAAGTCAAAACGACGTTTACAAACTCAACAGTCTTTTTCTCTACTGTATTAACGAATACTTCATTTCTTTATCATATAAATATAAAGAAATATGAAAATATAATTTTCAAAAAAGCAGGAGTCAAATTGCGCACAAGAAATGAATAATCATTGGTTCAGTGGGCGCCAACAGTCAGATTTCTTGTTGCAGATGTATTAGGATAAAAAAAATCCCATGTCAGCATTTATGGTGGTAAATTATTCAGTAAATTTGATATTTAAATTTTAATATTTATAATTTTTTTTATCTTCAAATTATAACTTACTAAAGAAAACCCAATGCCAATGCAGTGAAGTTTCCGCCCCCAAAACTTCCTCCTGTCTCATAGAAATGAGAATCACACCCAACTTTCATTATATATCTGTTGATTCATGTTTTAAGGCTTAAAATTGACTTAAAAGCTTCAATTTCAAAAGTCAAGAAGCACAAATTCTTCCACTACAAACCAACTTTTCGTGCTCACAACGGTAATTTAACTAACGAGTAACGACCCTTTAAAACACCAAGTCTTTGGGTTGGAAAAAAAAATTGAACCAACCAAAATAAAACCTCAACGGAGCAAATTTCCTTGCATTTTCAAGGCATAATCCAATTATGTCACAGAACTTTGCATTAGACTAAAAGCAAAATGAAACTAGAAAAAAAAATGATGGGGTTTGACCCTTTCATGTTTTGAAGAGGGCATCTTCAAATATATATTTTTATCAACTACTAAAAATTTTGAACAGGTAATGGAAGGTAAAGAGAAATGTTATTAAAATGGGAGTGATTGGTGAGATCTAAGTTGGAAATTTCGAGTGCACAGTACACAGATTCTGAGCACCAACCCAACTTGTAAATAAAAATTGTTCAAATTTATTTGATCAAGACCTCGTTTGCCAAGCAATTAAAAGTTCCAACTTCCAACAAGAATTTTAATACTCTAGTTGCTGAATGTAAACACTAAACCACAGCTATTCCTCTCAAAAATTGCCAAATAAATAATGGGGTTAAAGGTTATGACTGTCTGTCAGAAAGCATGTAAATCTAGGCTAAAATCTGATGCCCTGGCTTTGTATCAGAGCAATGGAGACAAACCTAAAGTTAAGAAAGATGTGATATTTAACTGCACGTGTGGGTTTAGCTAGGGCAGGTAAATAAGACGTGTTTGGTTGCTGATTATTGAGTTTAAATAAGGGATTCATGTGTGATTTAGTGATGATTGGAAGATAGGGGGGAGTTGGGAAAGTAGGTGTAAATGTTTTCTTTTTTTCTGAATCGTATTCGGCATAGGATACTCTGAAATTCTGCTAGAAGCCAGAACAGCTCCAGTACCATACATAGTAGTATGAGTTGTAACTTAGTATAATAGTATTAGTATTTATTTTTGGCTACGAGTGGTTGGCTGCACTAAAAAAGGAGGTGATCGATGATGACGGTGAATCACATTCAGAAGAGAAAGAGGACTGACTTTGATAGTACCGACACGTAGAGATAAAAAAACAAAGAAGAGAAAAGAGAAAGAGACATTGGATTCATGGTGTGGGCACGTGGATGGGGCCTCTCATTCTCCTTGGTGGGTCCACACCATACAGGGGATGGCATGGAATGGTATACAAAAGTATCTAACCATCTTAAGAGCAAAGATTTGAGAGTGGTTTGCCCGTGAAACAGGCAAGTTTCTTGCTGCCGTTCTTCACAGTCACCAATGAAGCCACCGCCAAATAAATATATTCCCATCTTTCTCCAGCAATGGTATCAATTGTGTACGAATTTTGAAGTTGAGAAAACAAGAGCGCAGTTTTCATTCCCGCTTGAAAAAAATATCATAAATAAAGCTACAAAAATGGATTTCAAAACTTTGAAAGGTTGTCAAAAGGACTCTCTCTTCCCTTTTATTTTATTTTATTTTTTAATTTTCGCATGATAATCATGGCTACCAATACCATTACCACCGCCTCCACCATCCTTTCACAAGTTCTTATACCATTAACTAAAGTCACACTCTTCTCTTACCCACTTTCTACGGTCTCGTTTTACTCTCTTGTCCTTTTATCCCTTCCCCATTTGTTGTTGCTTTCAACGCCAGGGATTGAACTAGCATCTTTTGTGAATTGCTCAACCGACCAGGTCTGGCCAATTCAAAATATTTGTGTTCTACAAAAGGATATAATGATGTTCCTCAAACGTAAACTCACAACTAAGTTTAAGAGCAGAACTGTTCGGGCAAAATCCAACCCCCAACCCAATCCCCACCCTTTATTAAAATAATAATAATAATTACTTGTTCTACTTGAGCTACTGGCAAGAAAAGGCCAAAACCTCGTTGGGGTCTACAAAGGGCAAGAAGGTTGGACCATCGAAAATGTAATTAGGAAAGCTGGATTATTGTCTGACTCTTCTCTGTAAAGCATATCAATCATCACCGGATGATGTCCTCCGATGTGTGGTCCAAAGGGGGTGGTACGGGATGGGAAGTCATCATCCCCATATCACCACCCTCCTCCCATTCCCTAACCCATTCCTAGAAAAAGGAAAAGTAGGCAAACTAGGTACCCAACCCAAGACAATTCAGCCAAAGTTGTCAATAAAAATTTAGAATGAACCTGAAGATACTTACCCATGTACCCATCAATGTGAGCATAGAAGCTCTGCCGCATTTCAAGAAAATAGTATTCATATATTGCTGAGCACAACTGCAACCTATAATCAATCATAGGAGTGTAAAACTTGGGCTCAACAAAAATACACAGCTAAAATGTAGCAATTTTGCCCATAAACTAGGGAAGAATCAAATCAAGTATTCTATACAAATACAAGTGCAAAATCAAATTGGTGTATGGGAAGAGCTGGCCACCTTCCCTTGCGTACTTTATTGTTCTTCGTTCTTCCAAGATTGATGGGTGGGTAAAGAGTCAAAATAGTCCAAAGAAGTCTCAATTTATGGAAGTGTAGCTCTTACTTCTTTCCTATCTGCTCCAAATGACTGCAGTTAAAAAAAAATTCACGAAACACCATCAGTATCAAAAAGGGAGGGAAAGAACAATTCCCCTATTTCTAACTGCATGGGCCAGAATCCTATCACTTGAGTAGGATAATTTCACACTCCATACCAAATGATGTACCAAAAAAAAAAAAAAAAACAGAATACACATAATTAAATTGGGCTTCTCATGAGCCATTGGGCCAGGTGAATTTTTCTCATCTGTAGGCAATGTGTTCACCACAGAAAAATTAATGTCAAGCAATGAAAGTACTTTAAGCCATCCATCCAACCTATGACCTTCAACTTTACCATCAGAGCAGATAGGATCATCACGGTAAATGACACCGGAGTGCCTACATAACATACAACTTGGGCTGAGACTAAGGCAGACTTATTCAAAAATAAGATGGGCTTATCATTGATCCAAATCCACTAAATAACTGTAGAAATAAGGTGGGTTGGAATAGAAAAATTACATTCACACTAGCTGAAAAAGAAGATCATGAATATGAATGGGATTGTGGTCAGGTTCAAGAGTAAATGGGCAGATTATCTTCAGATGCAAATCCCATGATTTTAGGCACGATTCTAGCAATGCAATCTGAAAGTTTCCATGCTTGGAAGGATATTCCTAGCTTATATATTTTCTATTATTCTTTGGTAGAAGGTAGAATAGAGTTTTATTTATCCTTAAGCAATCCTCTAGAGTGTTTTCAAGTTCTATATCTCTTAGGTGGATTTCATAGAGTGGTGAACTTTTATTGTTCTGTATCATTGATTAGAATTCTTAAAAGTGATGTTTCTGTATCCCTTAATTCTAGTCTTGGTGATGAACTTTTATCCTTTTTAATCCAATAATAATATTCTGCCATTATTCAAATTCTTGTGAGTTTTTCTGTTTGCAGTTAATCTCCACATCTCAAACATCAATTTTCAGCATCAAATTGATATCAGAGCTATGGCAAGTCGTCGTTGTCAAGCACTAACAGAAGAGGTTGAAGCCAACATCGACGTAGCGGCAACTACCAATGTTGACCCAAGGGATGCTCTCATGGAAGAAATGCGGCAACAGATCCTTCAACTACAACATCGACTACATATACAAGAAGAGAGAGAGGAGATAAGAAGGCAACGAAGGAGGAACGAAGAAGGTAAAGGAGAAACCAATCCATACCGTGAAAACAACAGCGATTCTAATGATAGCACCCTATCTCACCCATGGCAAGTTAAAGACTATTTACATAGAAACCAACTTCATCCTAGCATATTCAATCCGAAGATAGAAATTCCCGAGTTCAAGGAGAAGATGCAACCTGAAGAATTCTTAAATTGGTTGCACACGATGGAACGTATATTTGAATACCATGATGTCCCTAAACATAACAAGGTGAAGCTAGCAGCCATCAAATTTAGAAAGCATGCATCCTTTTGGTGGGAAAATCTGAAGAAGTAAAGGGAAAGAGAAGGCGGGAGAAAAATTACAACTTGGGAAAGATGAAAAAAAGAATTGAAGAGAAAATATCTCCTAGACAACTTTCGGCAAGATGTCTTCCTTAGGCTCCATAACTTGAAACAAAAAGATCTCTCAGTGGAGGAGTATATGACTGAGTTTGACCACCTCATGTTAAAATGCGAATTGGTGAAATAGAAAAAGCAAACTATTGCCCAATATCTTGGAGGATTGAAGAATTAGATAGCTAATGTGGTGCAACTACAACCCTATTGGACTTTTAATGATGTATGCAAGCTTGCCCTTAAGGTGGAGAGACTACAAAAAGAGGTCCGTGGTAGCAACTTGAGATTTGGGTCTTAAGAAGGCAAGCCTCAATCTAGTGAACAAACCAAAAGGTGTTTTAAATGTCGAGAGCTTGGACATATTGCCTCAAAATGCCCAAATAGGAAGATTGTGACTCTAGTAAAGGAAGACTTGAAGCAAAATAAAGAGGAGCTGACTGAAGAGGATCAAAAACTTGAAGAGGAAGAAGATGTAATCTATGGCGATTGTGGAGAATCCTTAGTCATACAATGCAGCTTGAGTACCGCACCAGCTAAGGAAGAAGATCGGTTGCGTAAAAACATGTTCCACACTTGGTGTACTGCCCATGAGAAGGTATGTGATGTGATAATTGATAGTGAAAGTTTTGAAAACGTTGTTTCTACCTTTATGGTGCAAAAATTAGGCCTCAAAGCAGTAGATCACCCCCAACCATACAAGCTATCTTGGCTTCAAAAAGAGAATGAAATCAAGGTTAGCAAGAGGTGTTTGGTTCCTTTTTCCATAGGAAAGAATTACAAGGACAAAGTGTGGTGTGATGTAGCTCCGATAAATGCTTGCCATTTACTGCTCGGAAGACCTTGGCATTATGATAGGAGGGTTATTTATGATGGTTACCACATCATATACACATTTGTGAAGGATGGATGCAAAATCACTCTAGGCCTTACCAAGCCCATGGTGATGTCCAAACCAACCAAAAGGGAAGAAAGTAGCTTGTTTATCAAGGCCAATTATAGAAAGGAAATTAAGATGGATGGTACTATGTATGCACTGGTGTTGATTGAGGAAAATAAAATTAGTGAGAAGCCCCTTGCAGTGATACAACCATTATTGGCAAAATTTTAGAAAGCTATTCAGGAGAAGTTACCAATTGGTCTACCACCAATGAGGGACACTCAACATTGCATAGACCTTATCCCAAGAGTCATTCTACCTATTGGTTGCAGCCCTTTTGAAATTGTTATTGGTAAGAATGCAATCTATCATTTGGATTTAATTCAATTTTATGTTAATCAGAATTTTGATAAAGATGTAGAAGAAAGAGCCAAGAGTATCAAAATATTTCATAAACAAGTTCAAAATAGAATTTTGCAGAAAAATGAGAAATATAAAAGGGTAATAATCATGTATCGAAGACATATGAAGTTCAAAGAACATAATTTGGTGTGGATTAACTTGCGGAAAGAAAGATTTCCTCTAGGAAAGTTTGACAAATTACAACCTAAAACAGATGGTCCATTTAGAATTTTCCAACGCATTAGAAAAAATGCCTACAAGATAAAGCTTTCCGACACTTATGGAGTATCTTCCACCTTCAATGTTGCTGATTTATCACCCTACCATGGTGAGACTATTAGTTTAGACTCGAAGACAAGTCTTTTCCAACCAGAGGAGATTGACACCGAAGTGCCTACATAACATACAACTTGGGTTGAGCCTAAAGCAAACTTATCCAAAAATGAGATGGACCTATCATTGATCCAAATCCACTAAATAAATGTAGAAATAAGGTGGGCTGGAATAAGAAGACTGCGTTTACACTAGCTGGAAAAGAAGATCGTGAATATGAATGGGATTATGGTCAAGTTCAGGTGTAAATGGGCAAATTATGTTCAGATGCAGATCCCATGATTTTAGGCACGATTCTAGCAATGCAATCTAAAATTTTCCATGCTTGGAAGGATATTCTTAGCCTATATATTTTCTATTATTCTTTGGTAGAAGGTAGAATAGAGTTTTATTTTTCTTTAAGCAATCTTCTAGATTGTTTTCAAGTTCTGTATCTCTTAGGTGGATTTCCTAGAGTGGTAAACTTTTATTGTTCTGTATCTTTGATTAGAATTCTTAGGGTGATGTTTCTGTATTCCTTAGTTTCTAGTCTGGGTGGTGAACTTTTATCCTTTTTAATCCAATAATCATATTCTGTCATTATTCAAATTCTTGTGAGTTGTTTTTTTTGTGAGTTTTTCTGTTTGCAGTTAATCTCCACATCTCAAACATCAATTCCCGGCATCAGTAAATACTAATGGTAAATAATAACTTAATCGCAGAGACCCAAAATTGGATAGTCTATGCTAATAGTATAATGCACCAGCTAAAGGAATCATCATAATATTTTTCAGACATAGAAGCCTACTAGCTTTCATTGGGTCATATGTTGCATATTTTTCATGGAGAACTTGGGAAGAATGCACAAACAAGTAGATTAATTTGGATCAACTAACTCTTCAAAACAGATTCATGATGAAGGAGCAGTTTAAGCAAAGCTCTACATTTGAAGGATACTGTTCTTATCGCACAGTAAGCTTTAGCCTTTAAGCAAGGTTACTTTAAAAAAAAAAGAAAGGAAGAGAATCATTCACTATAGAAATTAACAATTTACCTAAGACACGAAATAATGAACATTAGCAAAGATAATGACAGGCAAACAATAAGTATAAATATCTAAAGAAAATGATTCTTACCTCAACACCCAAACCTTTCACGTAAACATTTGTGAAGAGTTCAGAAGGTTCAGGCATTGGACTTTCCTGGATTTAAAAAAGGAAAAAGAACCAATCCTGTTAACATCCATCAGGTATCCACAAACAACTAGACAAAATTTAAAATAATATTAATAAATAAAACCATATACAAATAACTTCATTAAAATAATTTAAAATGAGAATTTCAAGATCAAAAATGAAAGAAGCAAAAATTTTATTACCTTAGCTTGAGCAATTGCATCATCTACCTCCTTTCTCACTTCCTTTTCAATGTCCTGAAAATGTTTTCCAAATATTTTGATAATTTTATTACCACAAATAAGTCCCTAACAATATTTCAATGCTGATATTTTCATAAATGAACTTAAGTAAAATACCTTCAAGTCTTTCTCAGTAGCAAGGTCATGAGACAATATCAGCTTCCTAATTCTTTCAATTGGATCACGCTCCTAGAAACATAACATCTAGGATGTCACTATTTTATTAACTTGTTTAAAATACAACACGAAATATCCAAAATCTAACAAATGAGTCCTTAGAAAAGAAATGTGAATTTGAGTATCAACCTGTCTAACACCACTAATCTCATCACGTGTTCGATAGGTGCTTCCAGGATCAGACATTGAGTGGCCATGATACCTATAAGTGTCCATTTCAAGAATCTGCATACAAGCACCAAGAATCAAAGTAAATCAATTAAGCAATAAAATATAGAAAATAGTATTGAGATTTCAAAAAAGAAGTAGCAGCAAATAAACATGTCTAATCACATAATCAGATAAAATGCAAGGTTACAATCATTAAATTAATAAATATGAAATTAGCATTACTTAAAAACCATGAAATTTGGAGTCATACATATTTAGGCATCAAGTAGAATATAGTATTCATGACTTTGAACCCATGTGAGTTACAAGAGAAAGGACCTAAAATCCTTTTAATGTTAATTTGTAGCATCTTCTTGCTTTGAAATTACGAGATACTGATTTATTTTTTTGATAAAAAAAAAGATATGAGACAAAGACTTATATCCCAACCCAAAACAATGTATGTATGCTACTTTAATTACACATTAGAGAGCTACAGAGTAGTTTCCCATGGCAAGCACCTAATATTCTTTTTCCCATAGCAAGCATCTTGTGAGTTGCTGAGATTATAATATAAGCCCCAATTGATTTTAGGATAATCTTCTACTTTTGCTTCATATGTGACGATGAAACTCAAAAGGACTTGTGTCTCATATTACTCTTTTTCTCAGACCAATAGATTGTCCCTGCAAACATCTTATCATCAGATATCACCAGATCAGCTGCTCATTGATTGCCATACCATAATATCCTTGGGGTCAAATTAAAGAAGCTGTCGAACACAAGTAACTGACATTGGAGATTCATCAGTCCCATAAAACTTGAGTAGCAGCACATAGATACTCATCCTTTCTATAAAGTTTGAAAGTTATGCTTTACTCTAGAACACAAATTTACACCTACCTTTTCATGTGTCATGAAGGTTTCTCATGCATCTTTACAGCCATTAAGACTTCTCAAGCATTTGTTTAGAATGTTTGTCCTGGATAAGCTCTACCCTATTTCAGCTTGCCTAAAGTGCTGTTTATCTTGAGCCAGATATGATAGAATCAACATGCAGGTAAAACGCATGACTGGAATTTCAGGGCAAAAATCGAGATCCATAAGTTAAAGGTGCTTCAGAAAATTCTTCTAAGCCTATAAATGGGTGGGGTGGGATTTGTAGCTAAAAAAGAAAGCCTACTCTTTTATAGGGATAAACTTACCAAATTTAAGCAGGTAAGTTTAAGCTACCAGTTGTAATTCTGATAGCATGTAGAGCTACAAAGTTTAACAGCTACAAAACAAAGATTATTCCTGCTTCCTAATACTACTTATCGGCTTTAGACAGAGACTTTAGACAAGACAGCTCATTACTAGGACCATTGATAGAAATGGAAAGAAGAAAAATGAAATAAGAGAAGGGGATAAATCTCTCTTGTTTGGATAATCAAGAAGAGAAGAGAAGCAGTAAGTGTCAACTTATCATCTGATCCATTTTAAAAATCTCTCCAAGTATATTCCCCAATCTGTAGTATTTTCTTGTTTCACTTTTTTTTTTTAATATTTGAGGATGCCAGGGATTGAACTCTGGTCATTGGAACTAAGAGTCCAGTACTTTACCAACAAAGCATATGACTGTTGGCGGCTTGTTTCACTCTACCCTTTCTCTCTTATGCTCTCCAAATAACTAAAAAATATGTATACGCTCCATTTCCCTTATCTACTACTGTCTTAAGAATTCAAACATGCTGTTATGGTAAACGACACTCATTAGCTAGGCACTCATACCTATCCCAAGGCAACAAGCGTCCCGCATAGGTCTATTCCATTATGTGCTGATCCCTTGTATTTTTAGCACTCTTCCTATCCAGTCCCAAGGGGTGACCTTCCCATCTTAAGGCTTGGGATGTGACACAAACATTCATGTTGCATTATATGTCAAGATAAGATTATCAGTACAAATTTCACAAATGTATGTCAGAGTATCACGAGCAGAAAATCATTTGAAGCAAGCACAATATTCCAATAAAGAGTTTTATTCCCTAGCTTGCTGTTTGAAGGTAATGAACTAAAGATTGGTTGATCAAAAAAAGGTTCCTAAATGAAGAATGGACTTCTCAGTCAAAGTGTAGATGAGCAATAATAACATATGCTTTGAGTTTATTACCCGTAGAGTGGACTAGTTGAATCAGTTTATACGGTTAAGCATGTACAATGGGGAATAGAAAATGTTTGCTGCAGTTACTGAGTCTGTTTAATCCCAAAATTAAACAGATAATGTTAACATATTATTTGAGTGTTATTAATTACGTAGCATACCATTTGACTGTTTAATAGCTGTAAGTGCAAGCAAAATAAAACAAATTAAACAAATATTAAGTTTTTAAAAAAGTTAAAGAGTAAAAGAAAATCAAAGTTTTCTCAAGTAGAAGTGGTCGATTCACACTTTAAGTAAGGAAAAATTAGTATATAAGAAAACGAACAGAACAACAAGAGCTGGATGAATAAACTTACAATTGGTCCATTCTTCAAGGCGTGTTCTTTGGCAAACTTGCAAGCTTGCTTCACAGCAAGGGCATCCATGCCATCCACCTACAAGATATGAAGCATATGACAAACATAACTAAAGTATGGCAAAAATGAGCACATTATTGTCTATATGGAAAAAATAATTTTAAACATACATTATCTCAAATATAGACACGATATATAACAAAAGTTACATCTCTATAGCTGAACAAAAGGTTTTGGATTTATAGAACTAGTATTCTTTTACCATCAAACCCTTAAACCTTAGAAGCAAACAAACTTATACATTAACAGCCCAATTGTATAAACAGTAAAAAGCCTTTGAGATTCGGCCTTTTTTAAACTTAATTCAATCCTTCAAGATCTAATATAAAAGGATAATATGAACAAAACCATCATGATAAAATCAGCATAAGAAGCAGTTTGCAAAGCTCAAAATCACAACTATCACAGTTTTTCAGCGTCCAATATTATGACATCTACTGGTCATGGTCACCTAAAATACCAAAAACATCTAAATCCTATTTACGTATTCATAATAAGAATACTAAAGAACCAACAACTTACAACTTAACAAAATCATTATTATCTCAAAAAACCAACTAATTCTCACCTTCAAACCAGGAACATAATTCCCACCTTTGCAGTACGTAATCATAATAAGAGCACTAAAGAACCAACAAATTATAACTTAATAAAATCATTATTATCTCAAAAGAACCAACTAATTCTCACCTTCAAACCAGGAACATAATCCCCACGTTTGTAGTATGCTGGACTCTTGGCAGCTCTCCACTCTGCCGTCCCCATACCATCTGTACATTTACATCAAATAAATAAATAAAAAATCCACGAAAACACTGAATGTTAGACAACAATAAACTTCTATTACAATTCAAATTTCTCACAGTGATTGTTCTCGCAGACCAAAATTGCAGGCAGATCCCAAAGCGCAGAGATATTCAAAGCCTCGAACAACTGCCCTTGATTAGCAGCCCCATCACCGTACAAAGCAAAGCTCACGTTTTCGTCTTTAGAATACTTTTGCGCAAACGCCAAGCCACATCCTAACGGAACCTGAGCTCCAACAATCCCGTGACCACCGTAAAAATTAGAATCCTTCTTGTAAAAATGCATCGAACCTCCTTTGCCCCTAGAACATCCAGCCTGGCGTCCCATCAGCTCCGCGAAAACTTCCAGCAGGGTCCCACCGCGAGCGACGAACGTACAGTGGTCGCGGTAGGCGGTTATGATGCAGTCCTTTTTGGTTATGGCAGCTTCCATGCCTACAGCGACTGCTTCTTGGCCGTCATATAAGTGGCAGAAACCGCGGATGAGTTTGGCCTTGTAGAGTGAGTCGGCGGCGATCTCCATACGACGCATCAGCGCCATGTCTCGGAAGAAGGTGAGGAGTTCCTTGGGATTGGTCTCGACGGAGCGTGAGGGGGCTTCGCACTGGTGAGAGGTGAAAGGGACGGAGGTCTCGACAATTATAGGAGTGGTGTCAGTGGAGATCGGGCGGCGGAGGGAGATGGCAGACGAGAGGGTTTTGAGAAGATTGGCGGAGCGGGAAGAAAAACAGTTGAGGCGCGATAAAGCCATCTCGAAGGTTGGTCCGATCTAAATATGAGAAAGGGTTTTTAAAATAGAGCAAAGAAACTGGAGGCGAAGACGGGGGCTGGTGAGGCAGAATTATGCGGGGGGTAAATGCAAAGAGAAGGGCTTTGGCCAGGGAATTTAAAGTCCTAGCTCCCAAGTGTAATTACTTGAACTTTCCTGCCCCTTCCTTTTTTTTTTTTAACCAATATTATATCCTGAGTATTAAAATAGCTAAAATTAGAAAAATCACCCGCGCATCGCTACGGTGTTTAGTTTCTTTATGTAGTATCAATCCT